AATCTCTCTCTCTCTCTCTCTCTCTCTCTCTCTCTCTATTTGATATTGTTCTCTCTTTTTCTCTCCCCCCCCCACTCTGTGGCTCTCTGTCTCCCTCTGATATTGCTCTCTCTCTCGCTCTCTCTCTCTCCTGATTCCCAGATATTTCTCTTTCTAATATTGCTCTCTGTCTCATCTCTGATTCCCTATCTCTCTCCCTGATCTCTCTTCTTTCCCTCCTTCCCTGATTCCTTGATCATTCTCTCTCCCTCTTACTTTCTCTCACTGCTGTCTGTCTCTGCGCACATACTACACAACAACTGTTACTACTACTATTACTACTACTGCTACTGCTACTACTACTACTACTACTACTAAACTAGGAACCAGTTAATGAATACAAATGTATACAAAGTAGTTAAATATAAAGTAGTTTCATAAGTGGTTCACACTAGTTTTTGTAACAAGGGTCAAGAAAAGCTTTATGCAGAAGATCGTGTTTGAGTAGCATCTTTCTGCCTTCAATCTACCTATCCACTCATCTATAGTGCTTTCCATCCACATAACTCTAAGTTTATGATGTACTTGTGTGGGGTGTCTTTATCAGTTGGTCCATCAATATGCATTGAGTGGTTCCATCATTAAAAAAAAATTTACACTGAGAAAACTGAGAGCAGTTTCTACTCTTAGCTCTATCACTGGCTAGCTAGTTGTATTGCACTGAGGAACATTACGAACAACCTTTATAAAGTTCTAGTTAATTCCTTAGCTACTTGGGACTAATCTGAACTCTGTGAAGGCAGAGAAAAAAAATGTGTGTGTGTGTGTGTGTGTGTGTAGTATGTATATGAATATGTGTGATTATATATGTACAAAGAGAGAGATAGAGACAGAGAAGAGAGATTTATGATCAGAAAAGGAGGTGGAGATCTTTCAAGCAAAGGCTGAATGACCACTTGACCAGTGTATTGTAGAGAGAATTCTTGTCTGAGTATGCGTTAGTATGAATTAGATTAAGTGACTCTAACTCTGATTCTCTGGTATTCTTTTCCCAGCATAGACCTCCCAGAGCCGGGAAGCTGAGGGGATAAGATAGCTTAATTTTACTTTGCTATCTACAGTATGCTCCTTTCTTTTCTCTCCTTTCTCCTCCCCTCTCCCCTCCCTGCCTTTCCCTCTCCCTTTTTCTCCTTTCCTCTCCTCTCCTCCAGAAGTGGGAAAGAACATTTGCGCAGAGGGGAGCTGAGTTCCCGCACCTGAGCTGAGAGCTTCAGAGGGGCATAAAGGATCTTTGAGGTACCATCCTGGGAGAATAAGTGGAGGGAGAGAAAGAAGATGGAATAGGCTAGAACTCCCTGCAAGCTGGGTCTCCTAAACTTGACCCTTTCCTACACATGTCAGAGGTTCTGATCCTGTGCAGGAGGGAGAATACGAAGGAGGGTCACAAGGTGATCCTTTTCCCTTGCCTGGTACTGATTTCTAGCTACTCTCAGTAGCATCAAATCCCCATCTGGGCATTTCAGTGTCTTGGTAAACTGTTATTGAATGTCCATTATAGATGGGAGAGAACCAGGTCCCTGCTCTCTAAGTAGATTCTGCCTTAATAAGTAAACTCCAGTGACTCGCTGTTGCCTGTTGGATAAAATGTAAATTCTCTTTCTAGCTCCATTATATATTACTGCACACCCAGCCCTCCTTCCCATAGTCCATGATTCAGCCAAACAGACCCATTTTCCCTCTCACTGGTGCTTTGTGCACTGGCTGACCCTCATGTCTAGAAGGTTCTCACTACCTCCTTATCTCCTGCTCATAAGATTTCCCTTACATCCTTCAAGACTCAATTCAGGCACCATCATCATCTACATGAGCCCTTCTTCACATAGTGTCCTCCTCCCCCAACTACCTTCTATTTACCTACTTTGTATTAATATATATTTTTTCTCTTTATATTTATTCGATACGTATTTAGATAAGAATTTATCTCTCCCATAAAATGCAAGCTCATTGAAAAATAGGTTTTGTTTTATTCTTTGTATTTATATTCTCAGCTTTTGGCAGAGTATCTACCTGGTGCCTAGTAGGTATTTAATGAATAATTGTTGATTGTACATACAGATTTAAATTTTCAAGTAATTTTTGCCAAGGAAAAGATTGCTTGCAAAATACCAAGAATAAAATTACAACTTGAGGTAAAGAAGAAAAGTTTCAAAAACCACACTAGCTAAAGAATGTTTACAGAGGATGTGTTACACCTTTCCTTCCCAACAACTTTCACATTTCCTAGAGGACAATCTACAAAAGTAGGTCAAAGGTGGTGGAAGTTTGGGGATGGGTGGATTATTAGTCCCTCAACTGGGATAATCACAAGTTTGGAATTTCTAGTTAAAGGCAGTAAAAGTCTTTGCATTTCAATGAGCATTGTTGGAGATAGGAAAATAGGTAAGGAAAGAACTGGGAGTAATACTTAATTGGGCTTTGTGGCGGGTAGGAGGAACAGAGATCTTCTTTATTAAGTCTTTCATTTGTCTAGGCTAAGGCTGTGAAACAGGAGGATCTTGAAGAGGAGTGTTGAGTTCCATTATGAAAACCAAGACATTTTGAAAGCCTCAGGTGTAGTAATCCCCTAGCTGAACTAACTTGTGTGTGTCTTAAGGGAGAGATACGACTTTTAAGGAAAAATAAGATGAGGAGATGGAGTTTGAACAAAATAGAGAAACTTTTGCAAGGTCAAACAAAGGAAGAGTCATATTTTAAAGGTAGTAGGCACAGGGAAAGGTGTGTGTGAAAAAAAGTGGAATTGGCTCTCTCTTGTCTTTGCAATTCCTGATAATTTGGGCTATAGAAGACTACAGAAAATTACCAAGACTCAGAGAGAAGAGGAGGAAAAATTGGGAAGAGGTGATCCTACCCAGGAAAGTGAAACAAGATACTGAAACTTACCTACTAAATAGAAGTAGCTTGATTCCTCTGGTGCTGGAAAGAGCTTTTCAGGTCAATATCATCTAGTGCTAATTGTCCATTTAATTTTGAGTTTCTAAGATTGTAGTTTTCTTTTGCAAAGTGGTATTTTTTTTTCTTCTCTTGGAAGGTAAAATTCTTTCAGGAAGGAGGTATGGAATAATTTTATCATGTTAGAATGACTTTTTGCAAAGTGGGTGGGTTGCTGTTACGTCGATACCAGGGGACAGACCTTCCCTCCAGGACAAACTTCTGGTTTCCCCTAGCCCTATAAACCAATATTCCATTCCTTTAAATGAAATCCTTTTACGTGGCAACCCATATAAAAAGACACAGTGTAGGAAAATCTCTCAAATCCCCTCTAGCTTTCCATTCACCAAAGGAGAAACTAAAGATTTGCTTCTTTCTGAAAAAGGAAATTGGGTATTTGAAACCTGATGTGATGATAGAGATAACAGACATAATGCAGAAACTTTGTACTAATGGGGCTGCAGAAATTTTAAGGGTAACACAAAGAAACTGGTGGTTGGCATGGAACTTTTGATCAGAGTCAGGGCATCTTCAGATGGGAATAGGATTCCAAATGTCCTAAGATTAAGTAAATGCTAAACTACAGAGAAACTCCAGTTACCGGTTTCAATTGTGAAAAAGCTGATTGAGAAATTAATTACACTCAGTAGCTGTAAGTGTAAGCTTGTTTGTTTTTAATAAACCTCTTTTTAAAAAGAAGGGAATTGGGGATTGGAAAGATAACTTGACCTGTACAAAACTTTTTAAAGAATTAGAAATGTCTGCAGGGTATGAGCAATTTGAATGGTATAGTCACTGTCCCCAGACTTTTCTCAGAAGATTGTCAGCAGTTAGGGAGCTGATTTTTAAAAAGGATAAATTAACCTACCCCATATACTTTAAGGAAAAAAAATGGATCTTCTTGTCTCCCAATAAATGCTAGCTTCCAAAATCCAAACTAAACCCAAATTGTAGCTTGCAAAAACGAAAAAAAAAAAAAGAAACCCCAAGGTCTTTGGAAATAAATATTTTCAAATTTCCTTAAAATATTCGTTAATATTTCTCATAAATAGAACAAATTTCAAATGGCTACTTAAATAGACACCGTTTTAAATAGTAATGTTTGAATAGGTGCTTCAAATATAACCTGAATTGTCTAGAATCTCTAAACTACTTGTTAGAATGAATAAATATTTTAAATTCTTTTTGTTGCTTTTTTTTTTAATCTGGAGTAGAATACTGAAGGGAAAGAACAGGGTTTTTATTATAAGGCAAGAAGCAATGAAACAGAAAAGAATGGAGGATGATACTTTATTAGATAAGTTTATTATCTCAGCTTGTATGTATGATATGGAAAACACTTTCACAAGAAATAAATACTCCGAAATTCAAAAGTTGTAGTGATATCACAGATGTGTGACTGGAAGAAACAGAGGGGCTAAGTATCATACACTTTGAAAAAATGGCCTCGTGGTTCAAAGAGGGCTTGGAAGAAGAAACTCTTGTACGCTGGGAAGTTTTGTTTTTTGATGTTTTTCTTTCTTTCAATTCCAGAAAAAAAAAAATCTTTAAGCAGCTTTTGCATTTTTGCAAAATGCATACCCCACATTTGGTCACTGGAACCAAATCTGAACGAGGAAAGCCCACCAAGTCAAGTCACATTCCGTGCAATTGGCTCTTTACTCCAAGGTTGCCCTAGAAAAGCAACATCAGGTTATTTCGTTTGTAAACAGTTTGCGGAGTGAAAGATATATATAAACTATATTGACCTATAAATAAAGAGGTGCTTTACCGCGAGGCTCAACAAGAACACGAGCTAGCCAGGAAGGGAATCTTTAATAGGCAAGTAGTAATCTTGAAGCTGGCGTAGAGGATGATCTCAGTTTTCGAATCCATAAAATAGGGGGGACCGGACTAAATGACTCTAAGAGCGTTTTCCAGATTTCTTTCCACGATGCTGGAACAGGATGGGGGTGAAGGGAGAAAGAGACAAACCTCCAGCAGCCTCTGAAGCTCTCGCCGTCGAGGGAGGCGGGGCGCGGACGGCAGGTGGCTCAGAAAGCGGGGGCGCTCGCCTCCCCGCCCGTGGGAGCCTCCAGAGCGAGCAGCCCCGTGCCCGCTCCGGGTGGGCACCCCAATGGTGCAGTGGCCAAGGGCCGGCCGAGGAGCGAGTTCTTGCTGGGGCAGCAGACGATCGCGGCGTCCGGCTGCGGTTGCAATAGCGTCCGGGCGGCCGCGGACACTTGTAGCCACGGGGAGGCGGCCACGGCCGGGGCGTGCCACAGGTGGCAGTGAGCCCACGGGGCCGCTGGGGGCCCCGCCGCGCCTCCTCCCCGGGCTCCCTGCATGATGCTGTCGATGCTGAACGAGACTCCCTTGGCCGTGCCGCCGGGTACCCGGGGCGGAGCGTCCCCTTTCCTCGGCGGCGCCGCGGGGCGGGCAGGGGCCGTCAGCAAGATGTAGCGCAGCGGGTGCGGCTGCAGCAGGGGGCCCGGGCGGAGCCGAGCAGGGACGGGCGCGGCAGATGCGGCGGCGGCGGCAGCGGCCGGGCAGAGCAGGAGCCCCGCGGACGCCGCCGCGGGGTGCAGGGTCGCGCACAGCGGCGCGCCCGGACCCGGGCGCTTGAAGCGCTTTCTGCGGCGCAGGAAGCTGCCGTTGTCGAACATGTCCTGGGAGGCCGGGTCCAGGCTCCAGTAGTTGCCCTTGCCCGGGTGGCCCGGCTCCCGGGGGATCTTGACGAAGCAGTCGTTCAGGGAGAGGTTGTGGCGAATGCTGTTCTGCCAGGCCGGGAACTTGCGGCGGTAGTAGGGGAAGCGGCCGCTGATGAAGGCGCAGATGCCGCTCAGCGTGAGCCGTTTGTGCGGGCTCTGCAGTATGGCCATGGTGATAAGCGCGATGTACGAGTAGGGCGGCTTCGCGGGGGCCGGCGCCGGCGGTGGCGCCGGCGGCGCACCCCCTTCCCCGAGCTCGTCCGGCACGTCCCGGGCTGGGATGCAGCGCCCGCCGTCCGCGCCGTCCCTGGTCCCCGACGGGGCGCTGCTGCCGCTGCTCTCCGGCGCCCCCGGAGGACCGGGCTGGGGCCGCCGCAGGTACCGCTCTCCCTCCTCTTCGTCCTCCTCCTCCTCCTCTTCCTCCTCCTCGGGTTGGGTATCCAGCGGCTCGTCTTCTCTGTCCGAGTCCCCGGGGCAGCGTTGCGGCCGCTGGGAAAGGGGACACTCAGCCCTTTGCAAGTTCATGGAGAACTTGGCTCTGGGGATTCCACAGCAGCAGGAACCGGCCGGGGCTGACCTACGACTGTACCGGACCAGGGCTTCGTTAAACAGAGGAGGTTTCCTCTCTCTCTACTTGTCAGCCACCCTCTTTCTATCGCCTTTTCTTCCTTTCCCCGACTGTCTGGGAAAGATGTAGGTTTGTCTTTATTATAGCTGCCGGGGTTTGGACTGAGTCCTTTCCTCTCTCTTTGGTTCCCTCCCCTCCTTCTTTACCCCTCCCCCTTCTCCCTTCCCTCCTCTCTGATCTGTCCCATCCTTTACTGTTGCAGTGGTGTAGTCTGCTAAAGGTGCAGGGAGAGGGGGAAAACTTAGTTATCATTTCCATTACATGCTGAGGGGTTGGGTGGGGGTAGAGGAAGAAGCATGGGCTTTGATTTTGAGCTATAATTTATCTTTTTTAAAAGAGCAACCCAGTTCATGAGAGGAATTGTATAAGCCTAGTAGTCTTTGGATATAGTTCTTCTCTTGGAGAATAGGACAAATCCCGAAGCTGACGCTTAAATACGTTGGCCGCTTAATGAGAAGACAGGACTCATTGGAAAAGACCCTGATGTTGGGGAAGATTGAAGGCAAAAGGAGGGGATGGCAGAGGATGAAATGGATAGATAGTGTCATGGAAGCAATGACCGTGAGCTCAGATAGACTTTGGGAGATGGAGGATAGAAGGGCATGAGGTGCCATGGTCCACAGAGTCAAGAAGAGAGGAAGAGTCACACATAATTTAACAACTTGGAGGACCAAGTTTAGTCAAGGTTTAATGGGGATTTAAAGGTTTAAATCCCCCCCTCCATTTCCAAGAGGCACTAGAAAAGGCAAGGTAAAACGGAATGCTATATTTTGTTTTTCACTTTCCAGAATAACTGGAAGGTGAATAACCACAATTTGATGATGGTAATAAGTAGTCCTAGGCTATGATACCTAACTGCTTCTCAGTTTATCTGGATGAAAATACCCTGCCCCAGAAATTTACTAGTTGTGTGAACTTGAGCTGTTCCCTTGACTCTTTTGATACGGGTTCTTCATCTGTAAAATCGAAACAGTAATACACTACCTACTTCGCAGGACTGATGTGAGAAAGGCCCACATTGGAGCTTAAAGCATGATAGGTGATTATACTGTATCAAAAAAGAAAGAAAGAAAGAGATCAAGAATGGATGGGAGGATAACAGTCATTGCCTTTGGTTTACTTACTAAGCTTAGGTTCTCAAAGTAGGCATACCCCCGGGGCACTGGAACTATCCAAGGGGAGGGGCAGTAGTAGCCTCCAGAGCAATTGAAGGGGGTGGGAGGTTGAATTAAAATAAGGGGGCAGTAGAAGCATAAGGAGAAAGAGAAGACAATTTTGAAAAACCCTTCATGAAACATGTATGTTTCATCTGTTGTGTAATGGAGTTCAAGTCATAGTGAATACATTATTTTCCAAATAAACACAAATGCAAGTTATAATCCATCAGTGGTTAAGTCCCCTAACAGGTCTTAACAAGCAAGTGTTAGCAGGCAAGGGTGTGGCCCATTGTGGGGAAGTCCAGCATGCATGGAGGAATATGTTCAGGTAATGACTTGTTTACAATATGATACTATTTATTTAAATGCAGGGGAAAAAACCACAAATTTACAATAAATTATCAAATTTAAGATGCATCATTTAAAAAAAACATTCTTTTGAAATGATGGAAATTCCAAAAAACCTTTAAAGGGTTAAAGAAAGTAGGTTTGGGGGGAGAGGCACTAAATAATTTTTTTAAAGGAGGCAGTAGACCAAATAAGTTTGGGAACCTCTGGCTTAGAGGTAGAAGGGAGTTCAGTGGTTATTTTACCTGTAGCCCAACGAACTGAACCCAGGGAGTGAATTGCCCGAGAACACACAGCCTGAATTGGAACCCAGATTTTCTGATGCCAAATCAAATAATCTTTCCACTAAATCAGAGGCATTGTGTATCTCTTTATGTTAACCTCTTCCTGACGCACTCCTTATCAAACTTTCTTCTTCAAAGTTGGAAAGACTCCAGTGCCAGGGACGGGGAGTGAAAGGAGGCAGGACCCTCAGATATGGTCAGAAAGAGTAGCCTGACAACTTGGGCGGGAAATGGAGATGGAGTTACCAAGGATAATTAAAACTGGAAGAAAATCAGGCAGCCTGATAGAGAAAGTATCCATCATTAGCCTTAGAGATAGCAGTCAAGGATTTTCAGGCTATCATTCCACCTGTTCAACTCTGCCTAACCAAGTACAATGTCAGATCATTAGGTTGTCTTGTTAAAAATAACTACTCTTTCCCTCTGCCTGCATTTATTGCAGCAAAGGAGACTACTTAGCAGCCAAACTAAAGTCAAGATATGTATGTAAGAATTGAAAAACTTGTTTCTATTAAAAGAGTTGTGGTTTTGTTTTTTAAGCTGCATGACCTTTATCCATGCTCCACCTGCCAATCTGTCCCTTAGTCTGGAAGGTATAAAACCCTGTTTTCTAACCAGAAGAATTCAGAGTTAAACATATATTCCCCCTTTTCTTCCTAAATATTCACCACATGACGATGACTAATGTTGATAGACTTAGCCCTTCTCAGCAATACAAGGATCTAGACATCTCCAAAGGTCTCATGATGGAAAATGCTATCCACATCCAAAGAAAGAACTGTGGAGTTTGAATGCAGATCAAAGCATACTATTTGCTATTTTTTTTTCTTCTGTTGTGTTTTGTTTCCTCTTTTTGGTGGTTCCTCCTATTGCTTCTAATTCTTCCTTATAACATCACTAATGTGAAAATCTGTTTAATAGGAATGTATATGTATAACCTGTATCAGACTGTGTGCCATCTTGGGGAGGGAGGAGAGGAGGGAGGGGGAGAAAAACTTAAAACTCAAAAGCTTACGGAAGTGATTGTTGATAAAATAAATTAAAAAAATAAAAAATTTTAAAAATTAAAATGGAAAAAAAATATTCAACACATGACCAGTGGAAAGAGCACTGGCTCCATGAGCTGGCTTCAACCCTGCTACTAACTACTTTAGCAAGTCACAACTCCTAGGATGCGGTTTCCTTATCTTGCACGTGATAGCCCCTGAGGTCCTGACAATTCTAGGACTGGTATCCCTGACCACTAGCAATTGATCAAGCCGGGGAGGCTACACCATCTGCCTGCACAGAAACCAATGTCTCAGGATATCTCCACTCTTATTGCCCAGTTATTTCAGTTACTCTCATCATGGTGGAGAAGGAAAGGGATTCCTAAGATCCAGACTACCACAAAGGTGAGGAGAGATTTTTCTCCCCCTAGCCTCCAATAATCTACTTTGAAAACTAAATTAAAAGAATGACTTCAGAAAAACTTGGGAAAACTTATATGAATTTAAGCAGAACAAAGTGAACAGAACCAGGAGATAATTGTATACAGTAATAGCAATATTGTAATGATGATCAACTGTGAAAGACTTAGCTACTCTGAACAATACCATGATCCAAGACAATTCCAAAGAGCTCGTGTTGGAAAATGCTGTACAATTCCAGAGAACTGATGAACTGAGTACAAAGTGAAGTATAATTTTTTTCACTTTGTTTTTCTTGCTTTTACAATTTTGCAACATGGCTAATATGGAAATATTTTTGCATGAGTTCATATGTATAACTGATATATTGTTGCTCATTCTTGAATAGGACCAATGACATCACAAGGGTGATGTCTTGACTTCCTCGCTTTCCTCCAGAGTCATAGAAGGTCGAGTGGCATTGCTTGCCTTCTCAATAGGTGGAAGGAGAGAATTTGGAACCCAAACAAAAATGTTAAAAATAAAAATTTTTAAAAGTTCTATTAAAACATATTCACGTGGCCAGATGTCTTTTCAGGAAACCTAGGTATTCTAGTTAGCCTTTTGGGGGGGGGGGGGGGGGGGCAGGGAGAAGAAGGGATTTTGTGACTTCTGTGACCTACCTCACAATCTGAGGTACTAAATGATGGTCCAAGTCTTTGTGTAAGAATGGATCCATTTATTACTGTATATTAAAACTGCCAATAGCTCATTTTGTGGGATTTCATAAAAGAAACATTTTTATTACTTAGTCTATTGTAATCCCTTTCTGATTGCACATTGAGTAATAATTTACCTTGAAGTAGGTGGTAACCCCTTGCAGTTTCTTAGCTAGCCTATTAAAAGTTCAACTGTTATTTTTCTCTTCTTTCCTTTGTCTTTTTAAAGAAGTACTACACTTAATATAACAGTAACTTCATCCAAGATCACTCTAAGTACTTCCTCTGGGCAAGCTATGACAAGATAACTGCCTCCCACCCATTACAGAATTTGGTCATTCTTGGACTAAATATGAGAAACTGAATGATATAAGCCTCTTTTAAAGAAAACAGTCCCCCTGTGCCTGAAGCCACTGTGGGTGATATGTGAAAAAACCTGTTTTGCCAACATTGTTCTTGCCATCAGAAAGGCATCATAAGCTAAGCCACGTGTACCCTGGGCATTTAGCATTCCATAAAATTTCAAAGGCCAGAAAAGCAAAAACAAGACTTTATTGACAAGTAATGTCAGAAGCTGAGCTTTATCTCCCTATAAGCAACAATAATCCACCCTCAAATCACACCCTGAAGAGTTTTGCCGAGAATCCACCTTTGCCTGCTCCCCACAGACATGGGAAGTAATGATACATGAATACATCAGAGGCTTAAGAGGAAAGTCAAAGGCTCATAATTCAGCACCCTTCGACACCATCTTGGGATCCAGCTGGCTTACTTGAATAAATGATTGTGCTTTGGTGTCTTTTCACTTTTTAGTGGTAAATCGTCACAATGCCTTCCATTTAGAAAGCAATGTCATTAAACTTGTGATGACCAAATGTAAACTAGGAAATACTGCTACATTTCAATTGGAATTCTTGTTTACACATTTTATAACCTCAGCATACCCTCAATGAGTTTCACATTTATCTTGTGGTCCTGGTCTTGATTTCTAAAATTTTTAGATATTTTTGTGCTTCTGCAAACTTTTTTTTTTATTATAATAAGATGCCAGTTTTATTGAATTTCCAAATCATCCTAGGCACACCATCATTTAGTGCCCTGTTTGATTGTGGTATTTTTTTTTTTTTGGTAAGTTTTAAAAATTTATTTTAAACTTAAATACAAAATGAGAAAAGAAAAAAAACACTGCCATGTACACAGCAGAACATAAGAGGTGATTCAATATAAAACAATAAAATTCCATTTCAAGAAAACATATATAATGAATACAACACATTGTTTTCAAAGCTACCCAGTTTTTCTTTGCTTCCTTGTAGGTTTTCTTTTGTGCCACTCTTGTGCACTTCATTTTTCCCCTCCCCAAAGAAGCTTAATGTGAGGAATGTATTTGAGTTACTTTCAAAATTTTATAACTTGGCAAGAAAGTGATCTTCATCTCTCCAACCTCTGACATCTCCTAGAACCCTGGATGCTAGGTGATGTGAAAATTTATATCCATCACTGTCACCACTCCTATTTTTAAATATAACATTATGGGAAACTTTGAATTTGGAATCAAAAAGCCTTAGACTGAATACTGACCAACACTACGGAGTCACATTACTTACTAAGCCTCGGTTAATTCATATGCAAAATGTATATAAAGTACTACCTACTCTTACAGAGTTGCTGTTGGCCAATTTAGTCTTCAAAGTCAGTTCTGAGACAGCTTTAATGACACTGTCTGAAATAAACTTTGTTCCCAGTAGAATGTAAGCTTCAAGGGTAGGATCAGCCTTTCATTCTGTTTTTTATTTTATTTTATTTTATTTTATTTTATTTTAGGCAATTGGGGTTAAGTGACTTGCCCAGGGTCCCACAGCTAGTAAGTGTTAAGTGTTTAGTCTGAGGCCAGATTTGAACTCAGATCCTCCTGACTTCAGGGCTGGTGCTCTATCCACTCTGCCACCTAGCTGCCCGTTCTGTTTTTATATCCCCAAGATTTATCACAGTGCCTTGCACAAAGTAGGTATTGAATAAATGCATATTGAATTCAATGTATTTCCCAAGAAATACATAATACATACTGAAAATTTTACAACATTTATTTAATACTGAAAATTTTATAATATTTAGTGTATTACATAGAAGAAAAAAATGTAAAAGAAGATCTTAGAATCCATAACAGTGGCCATGAAATAGATTCATAAACAGCAAAAAATTGATTCCTCCAGTATATCATCCAGTCTTGATTACAAATGCTTCTAGTGTTAAGGACAGACTTGGTTTTCTTTGAAATGTAGTCTCAACTGCTTTCTTTTTTCTTAGTCACTGTATCTATAAATAGGTGTTTAAGGATTTCCTTATCTAAGTTTCTGCCTGTAAAGAGAACAAAATACAATGTGATACTTTCCCTTATATTTATTTTTAAAACATTTAGTCATATTAATCAGAGACTACTTAATACCTCATGGTCAACATATATATAAAAATAGAGGGGTTGGGATAAGAGTCTTTTATATGTCAGAAAGGAATCACTTTTCAGCTGCATACCTTAACAAGGAGTTTGGATTTTTCAAGTCTAAAGATCCTATGAAGTTTAAAAAAAAACTTGTCTCACATTTTATGCTGAGACATTTTATGCGTAATTAAAACATAATTACCAGCTAATTTCAGTTAAAAGCACTAGATGCAAACTCCTGCTTAAGGTGCAGAAGGCCACTGGTCACTCACCTATCAGCACCAGTCTGTTGGTTCTCTCAGTGTCATCCTCCCACCTCACTGGAGTCTCTTCCAGATCATACAGCTCATGGACCCCTTGGACAATCACTTGGTGTGGTTTGTCTTTGATAGACACCAGCCCCTGCTCAGAAAGACAATTACTGATCAACTCCAGTTCTAATTCAAAAGCAAGCACATAAATACCAATGCCAGTGGCACAGTAATTCCCATTCTATTTCAAGGTGATACTTCTTTGGAAAGGAAATACCACTAAAACAACAGAAACTTATCAATGGTAGTTCCCAAACTCGGGGAATAAGGGAAACCAAACAAAGCTTCCTAAAACCTCCACTTTTCAGGCGGGTTCTGCTGTCTCCCAACCTCTCCAGTTTCCTAGAGATACCGTTATGTCACAAAACAGGATCTTTGTTAAACGTTCACCTGCTTCTACTGATTATTCTTCCACTCCTAAGTTCCTTTACTTGTTCACAGTTTCTATGGAGAAATCTGAGCGATTATAGGATTTTGGCTTCAGGCAGTAAAGTGATCCTGTTTTCACATAAAGGCCCCAGATAAATTAATAACTTAAAGGATAACCACAAAATACAGGTCAAGAAGGCTTCTATTTATCTGTACAAAAATTCAACTTTGCATTGGTTTGAAAAAAGACTATGAATATATCGTCTGATATTCAACTTTTAACCATTCATTCAATATTATAAGCTTATGAGGATGAAACAAATTAAAATTAATATGGGGAAAACCAACTTTTCTTTCTGATTTATCCAGCTAGTCCCTGATTGATCTACATGTAAAGAACAATATCAGATAGCTATAACAAAAACCTCAAGAAGAGAAGTTTAACACCCACTCAACAAATATTTGTTGACTGAATAAACACAATTTTCCTCCTTTCCTCTGGGCCTCAGTAGCTACACCTGCCAGATGCATCAAAAAGCTCAATAAAGGGTAGCTGCTTCATGGTTCTTAATACTGACATTTTTTGTCATGAAAATATCTTGGAAAAATAAAACCCAGGGAAAACTTCAGAATCCTCCTCCTTCACTGACCTAAAGCAAGTGCGGAGGGAAGGAATTCACCACAGGAAAGCTTATTAGCAAGACAAGACTCAACACCTGAGAGTCCAGAGCATGGAGTGACATTTCAAAGCACATGAGTTGTTTTGGGGATAACACAAAAAAGGAAATGTGCCAATCAATCATCCTTTATACAGTGGTTTGAATAGTCCCCCTTCCAGACCCAGTAAGAATAAGGCAAAAAGAAAAACAAAGTATGTGCCCTCTAACCATAACTATGGCTTTAAAAATAGCTAAGTGACCACATATCAAAATATAAATCAGCATAAATTTGAATACTGAACCTTTAGTCGGATGACTTCCATGGTGCTATCTGCCTTATTTTTCACAATCTTTTCCCACAGAAGATTCTGCACACAAGAACATATTTTAAGGAGAATGTTGCCAATACCAATAATGATAATGTGATTATATGGGAATTTAAAAAATAAGTATAAAAGAAACAGCTCTCACTTGAATAAATATATTTAGATTTTCTTCAGTTGCACTTCCCAGTACTTCAAATGTGACTGTAACAATACTCTGTAAACAGAGAGACATTTAATCATCATTATTGATAACAGTATCTTACAAAAGCCACAATTACTAATACAGAGGTGGGATCCAGGGTAATTATGAGAGATGTAACCTTTTTCTCCATCCCTCCTACTATTGTCCTCCATCTATTTGTAGATTTCTTTCTCATTTTTGTCTCTACTTTTTCTTCTCTTTTCTCTTCTGTCTCCTGACCATTTCTTAGGTCTTTGAGGGGGGCAACCACAAACAATATTTAGCTTTATTGGTAAAGAGGTTAATTTACTGTAATACTCAAGAATGTGCCAGGGCTGCCAACTTGGCTGAGGTTACACACACTTCTAAAGCAGAATGACTTGGTGACTGGTCTTCTGGCCACTAAAATATATTCTAATTCTGAAATGTTGTGATACAATCTATATATCTTGAGGGCAGATCACCGATTGGTAGTGGTTTGGAAGTGGATTGAAAGTATACAGGTTGCTAATTAAATGAACTTGCTTCATCTTTGTAAATGAAAGGCCATCTGTACATAGTAATTAATTGAATTTTTTTTCTTGTACTCTACACAGTGAAAATACAGAGGTAAGTTTCTGTTAAAAGTTTCTTGAGATGATGACAATGATGACTAAGTTATTTATAATCGGTAGTGCGGGATTTCCACAGACCCACACTCTGACGTGCTCCTTTAAGGAACTAAATGTTTCCCCTTTTCTATGAAGTGCTTTCAAGGTAAAAATTCAGATGTCAATGTGCTACTATAATCACTTTTTTCAAGATAAATGAGAGGCATTAACTAAGGCTGGGTACTAATAAATGTGTTTGTTTTCCTTTCAGAAGAAGAAAAACAGTGATGCACAAAAGCACAAGGAATGAAGAAAGAGTGACTCATTAAGAGCAAAGAAGCCCTCCAAACAGAATGCTTACTCTCTCCCAATCACAACATTTAAACACTGGTCAGTGTTCGATTTAGGAGGTCAAAAACTAAACGATCCATCTGGGAAAAATAAACTGAATAAAAATCATTTGCCTGTTCCTTTACAGTTGCTCAGCTGGGAAGCCAGGTGGTGCAGGGGACAGAGCACCAGGTCTGGAGTCAGGAAGACCCGAGTTCAAATTTGACCTCCGATGCTTACTGGCTGTGTGACCTTAGGCAAGTCCCTTAATCCTGTTTGCCTTAGTTTTCACATCTATAAAATGATGTGGAAAAAGAAATAGCAAATTACTCCAGTATCTCTGCCAAGAAAACTCCAAAAAGGGGTCACAAAGAATACAATAAAATTACAGTTGTTTCCTCTGAAAGTCTAATTTTAATTGCAAAATGTGAACAGAACTGTGTTGCTTGAACCCTGATCAGAAATCTCTTCTTTAATATCCTTTCCAGGGGAAAAAGAAAAGTAGGACACTACTTCCAAATCAGCCTTTCATTAATGCTGTTCAAAAATTCCCCTCCCCTTACAAGTAATCTCATAATTAATGGAAAGTCACTACTTGCTAGGTCCAGTGCTGAGTTCTGGAAATACAAAGGTGATACAATCTCTGTCCTCATAGAGCTTTACATTCTAAAAGGGGTAATGACATACACATACACACACACACACACACACACACACACACACACACACAAAATAAATACAGGGTAATTCTGGGAGGGAGGGAGGGAACTAGAGTGGAGGACGGGGGAAAGAGGAATCTGGAAAGACTTTATGTAAAACATTGGGTCTCAAAATGTGATCCAGGGTCTCCCAGGAACCTCAATTCTCTTTCAGAGGGTCTGCAAAATTATTTTCATAACACTAAAATGTTTTCATTTCTAATAATGAATATTAATTCATATAAGCCATATAAACAAAAGTTCCTTGGGGTCCTCAAAAATTTTTAAGAGAATAAAAGAGCCCTGAGACCAAAAAGTTTGAGAACTACTGATATAGAGGGGGTGCTTATGTGTGAAGAGGAGCCAGTGCGGTTTCCCAAATGCAGTGACACAGCCAGACCTGCGCTTCTGAGAAATCACTTTGGCAACTGAGTGGAAGACCGCCTGGGATGTGAGAAAGAGACTTGAGGCAAGGACACCGGACAGAAGGCTGTTTTAAAAGGTATACGGTCAAAGGTGAAGAAGACCTGAATTAGGGTACTGACTTTATGGTGGGACAAAGGCCAGAGATGCTGACAGAAACAAGACTGGCCACTGGTGGACATGTGGGGTGAGTGAGGGTAGGGAATCAAGGACGACACTGAGGTTGAAAACTTGGGGGAATGGAAGGACGCCCTTCCTTATTAGGTATCCTATAAAAAGCAAGGACATATTTTCTATGACTCTGCTCCAAATAGCAAGACAGCAAGAGAAAAGAACTTTTTTTATGTTTGTTTATTCAAAACCAAAATAACTAGTACAATTTTTCCCCTTGGGGTGGAGGAAAGAGTGAATCGTAGGATATACCATAGCATTGAGAGTTGGAAAGGACTTTGGAGGTCATCTAGACCAAACTCCTCCTTTGTCAATGGGAAAACAGGTTAAGTGACTTGCTCAAGGCCATCTACCAGAAGTAAGGAGCAAAGCAAGCATATGAATCCAGGCACACTGATACCAAATCCAGTGGTATTAACACTCACCACAGCTGCAATTATTATGGGTTCAAGTACACACTACTTTAATCACCTCTACATTAGAATGGGCTGGTGCAGCTAAACTTGTACTTCCACAAAATAAAAACTCAGTACGTTTTCCTTCAGATTCCTGGAGTGGGCACCTCAAGAAGGGCAAAAGGCCAAGTCTATGAGGTACACTAATAACAAGTGAAAGGATTTACAGACCTACTTCTTTGCAATCCATTTGTGACATTGTCCTTTATTTAATACAAGTATTTAGTTTTATTCAGTCAGTCCATAAACATTTATCAAGCACCTACTATGTGCCAGGTACTGTGTTAAGTGCTGGAGATACAAAGGCAAAAAACAGTCCCTGTTCCAGCAGAACCCCAGTCTAATGGGGAGATAACATGCAAAAAAAACCAGGTATAGACAAGCTACATACAGAATAAACTGGAAATAGTTGATTGAGGGAAGGCACTAGAATTGAGGGAGGGACTTGAAGGAAGCCAAGAAGTGAGATGAGGAAGATGGGGGGACATGAGGACAAGCATGAGGGATGGCCATGGAAAATGTCGGGTCAGGAAATGCCACAGTGTGGGAGGAACAGCAAGGTAGCCAATGCCACAGGTCAGAACATGTGCTTGTGTTGGGGGGGAGCAGTGTTTATGGTTTAAGGAGACTGAAAAGTTGGGGAGCAGAGGAGGGAGGTTAGGAAGGGCTTTCAATCAAACTGAAAATTTTATATGCTTGATCCTGGAGGTGATAGGGAGTCACTGGAGTTTACTGAGCAGGAGGGTAACATGGTCTGGTCTGTGCCCTAGTAAAATCACACTGGTGGCTTAGTGGACAATGGATGGGGAGGAGTGAGGCTTGTGGCTGAGAGATCAAGCAGCAGACTACAGAAATTATTCAAATCAACAAGCATTTTTCATGAACCTACTACATACAAAACACTATGCTAGGTTCTGCCCACACAAGAACAAAAACCCTGCCCTAGAAGATCAAAGGGGGCACTAACAATTAGAAGAATCAAAATAATCCTCAGCACCACTTTTTCTGGTAGCAAAGCACTGGTAACAGAATGGGTGTCCTTTGAATGAGGCACGGCTAGCCAAATTGTAGTACGTGAATGTAATGGAATATTGTTCTATAAGAAAGGACAAACAGGAAAAATTCAAGAGAAGCATGGAAAGACTTACTATGAAATCAGTGGAACCAAGAAAACAAAATACACAATCACTATACAACAACGGAAATGGAAAGAACAAAATCCAAAACTGAACTCTGTGACCAAGTTCACAAGGTGAGAAAATGCACTCCCATGGGTGCATCACTGCATGTGCAGTTCCTCAGCTGACATATGCTGAACTGCTTTTTTTTCATCTTTTCTTTTTAATTCTTTCTAAGGAATCTATCTTTGGAAGGGAAAGGGATATAATTGGAAATGACAATGAGGTAAAAACAAAAAAAATCATTTTTTTTAAAATTAGGGGAATCATGAAAGATTTCCCTCTGGACACAGCACCAGAAGAGGCTGAGAAGGAAGCTAAGTATAGTACAACTGAAATCACATTTTCATTAATTTTCAGTGGTTAATTAAGCAGTTCTATTCTTCTGAGTGATAGAAATCCACAATACACAGAACTTAGACAAAACAGCAATGATAAGTATTCAAGGATGCATTCATATGCTAAGGTTTTTTTCCCTCAAAGATTTTAGGCTGTATTTACAGTTTGCTTTTGTGGGTACTAAAGTGCTTAAGCAGATAAGGAGAAGTATTTTTCCCTTAAAAAAGCAAAAGCCGTGGGCCATTGAAATGAAGAGAACAACTTGCAGGGGAGGTACAAGTATATTCAGGCTCTTTACAACTGCCCACCCTCCAGCAACTCTATTAACTATTAGGAAAACAAACAAACAAAAAAAGACTTAAATAAAAAGCTAAATATCTAGAGGCAAGAATTATTTGACAGTTAATCACAAGCATTAAAATGCAATTTAAGAATTAAATCCTGACCAATTGTGAAGGGAATTAAAGTGTCTTTTTTTTAAACAATATATATTTTATCTTAAAAAATTTTATTCTTCTGTTTGCATGTACCTCCATTTCTAAATATATCTCTTGTCTTTCCAAACCATCGTTTGCAACAAATAAAAAGGAGAAAAAAAGCTGAGCAAAACTAATCAACACAAGTGTAATGTAGCCTGCCACACCCCCACCTCTTCAGAAGTGGAAGGCAGCACATCTTTCTTCTAGGCCTAACTGGATCATCAGCTAGCCTCAGATTAACTTTTGGTTCTTTCCATTTACATTGTTATAATCATTGTGACCACCATTCACTTGTTTGTTCACTTCACATCAGTGTTTACTATTAGTCAGGTAATGTGCACTGGGGACACAAAGAAAAATCTAAAATTACATTTGAATGGGGTACACAACATATACATGAATAGGTATATTTAAGATACCTCAAAAGTAGATGCAGGGTAACTTTAGGGAAGAAGGGATAATATGCTCTCTAACATTTGAGGAAATCTGGAGTCTTTAAGAAGACAAAGAGAAATCCTAAGAGGGGGAGTTGAGGAAGGAAGGAATTCCAGGCACATGGGATAAGACAAATCATGTGAAGAAGAGGAAGTAGGTTCGTATCAGTGTAGTAAGAAGTAGAGTATAGAAGGGGCTAGGTTGCAAAGAACTTTAAATGCCAAACAGGAGTTTATATTTGATTTTAGAGGTAATTAATAGGAAACCACTGGATTTGTGGTAGGGTGCACAGTCAGACCAATGTTTTAGGAAAAATCACTTTAGCAATTAAATGGAAAATGGATTCAAATGGGGAGAGATTTGAGGCAGGGAGACTAGAACAGGAAGCTATGGCAACAGTTCAGATGAGAAAAAGATGAAGACCTGGCCTAGGACGGTGGCTGTATGAGTGGGAAAAAAGGTGACCTATATGAGGGCTGTGATGGAGAAGAAAATGATAAGATTTGGGAAGTGACTGTATACGTGGGGAGAATGAAGAGGTAAGGATGAAACTGAGGTTGTGGGTTTGGGTGACTGGAAGGGATGATGGCACTCAGGACAATAATGGTAAAGTTTATAACGGACGAGAGAGGAAAAACAGTGAGTTCTGATTTGGACAGATGTCTATGGGAATACAATTCTAAACGGTCAATAGGCATAAGAAGATGCAAGACAAGCTCAAGCACAGGACTGCGGAGAGATTACATAGATAGATAGATAGACAGACAGACAGACAAACAGACACAAAGATACACACACATACACAAACACACACCTAGGAGACATCTGCATAGAGATGATAACTGAAACAACAGAAGCTAAGGAGAACACTGAACAAATGAGAGATAAGAGAACAGGGTACAGGACACAGCCCAACCTCGTGCCTAAAGTTAGTGGGAGTGACTCCACATGAATACAGATCCAGCAAAGCAGACCAGGAAGCAACAGTCAGACAGGTAAGAGAAGCAGGAGACAAAGCAGTGTCACAAAACACCCAGCATTCCAGAGGAGAGAGTGGTTAACTGGGTCAAATGCTACAAAGAAGAAAAGAAGATGAGGACTGAAAAAAGAAGAGATTTATTGACTAAGAGTCACTGGTAATTTGGTGAGAACAGTTTCAGTGAAGCCATGAGTTTGGAAGCCAGAGTACAAGGGGCTCAGAAGAGAAGAAGTAGATTAGTGAGAGTAAAGACAGCTTTTTCAGAGTTTAGCTGAGGGCAGGAGAGATATGACAGTGAAAATGGTAGGATCAACGGAAGGTTTTTTCAAAATTGAGGAGACTTAAGCATATATATATGCCAACAAGGAAAAAAACAGCAGACAGGGAGACAATGAAGATGGGGGGGGTCCCAATTGATAAATAGTTAAAGGATATGAACAGACAGTTCTCAGAGGAAGAAAATAAAGCTGCCTATAGTCATATGAAAAAATGTTCTAAATCACTACTGATTAGAGAAATGCAAATCAAAATGACTCTGAGGTACCACATCACACCCATCACATTGGCTAACAAGACAAAACAGGACAACAATAAATGTTAGAGAAGATGTGAAAATTGGCACACTAATACATTGTTGGTGGAGTTATGAAATGATCCAACCATTTTGCAAAGCAATTAGGAACTATGCCCAAAGGGCTATAAAATCGTGCAGGCCCTTTAATCCAGCAATACCACTTCTAGGTCTGTATGCCAAAGAGATCATAAAAATGGGAAAAGGACCCACATGTACAAAAATATTTATAGTAGCTCTTTCTGTGGTGGCAAAGAATTGAAATTGAAGGGATGCCCATCAATTGGGGAATGGCTGAAGAAGTTGTGGTATATGAATGTAATGGAATACTATTGTGCTATAAGAAATGATGAGCAGGCCGATTTCAGAAAAACCTGGAAAGACTTCAGAACCAGGAGAACACTGTACACAGTAACAGCCACATTATGGGATGACTGACTTTGATAGACTTGGCTCTTCACAGCAATACAAGAATCTAAGACAACTCCAAAAGATTCATGATGGAAATTGCTATCCACACAGAGAAAGAAATATGGAGTCTGAATGCAGATGGAAGCATACTATTTGCTCTCCTTTTCCTTTGTTGTTTTGTTTTATTGCTTCATTCTCATGGTTCCTCCCATTAGTTCTAATTATTCTTTATCATGACTAATGGTATGCTTAACAGGAATGTATATGTAGAACCTATATCGGATTGTACACCATCTTGGGGAGGAGCAGGGAAATGAGTGGGAGGGAGAGAAAATTTAAACTCAAAATCTTGTGGAAGTAAATGTTGAAAATTAAAAATGAATAAATTAAATTTTTAAAAAAGGGGAGGCTGTTTGTGATGAGTACAACATGTCGGAGAAGACAGGAGGGGATGGGAACAAAGGTATACCTAAGTCTTCCCATGTTTCTCTGTTCTTTCTTGAATGCTGCAGTAATATTCCATTACATCTGTGTACCACAATTTGATTAACCATTACCCAAATAATCTACTTTGTTTTAGTTCTTTGCTACTACAAAAAGTGCTGTATATGTTGTTCCCAGTGATTTCTTACTAGGTCTATGATGAAACAAGTTAAAGGCAGTCTTTTGAATAAGTTATTTCATAGTACAATGCCGGACATCAGATAAAAGTATCTGATATTTGGAAATGTTATTATAGTTTCTTTCCCAACCAACTATTGACTGATATTTAAATATCATCACCTTTTAACCCACAAAACTTTCTTTCCACAATAAATATACATTTTTAAAGCATTAGGGCCATTTAGTCTACTTGAACATGTCACTTGTTTTCTTTCCCTTTAGAAAGTCATTGAAAAGAGCATCAAAGAATTTACAACTATGTTAAACATAGCAAAAGCTTGGTCAATATGAGATGCTATGTTTTCAATAATTTCTGCCTTCAAAAATGCTAAAACTTAGCCTGAAACTCTTCAATATTAGGTGAGAAAAGTCTGACATAGATAGACCTTTCAATAAGGAATGCTTTAAAAAATAATAATATTGCTTTTTTTTAAACTAGAGTAGATGTAAAATTTGATGGTAGGAATGAATTTATTTGTAGCAGTTAGAGGTTGGCACTGTGAATAGTCATTAATATACTCTTTCAATATATATGTATCAATATACTCTTTCAATAATATACTACTCTTTCAACTGAAAAAAATTACAAACAAAAAATTAAGGCAATTCATTAGGGGAGAGTCATATTTTTTTTTTTTTTTGAAATAAACTTTTCAAAGTATCTGCTCACGGTATTCCAACCATGTTGGAAGAGCAAACTATAAATCCTTAAGTCCACAGTGCAGGAAATGAGGACCACATCTTATACCTTAATCAGTTCTCTATTCTAGACAACCATATGGAATGCTACCTTGGTCCTCATGGTTCTATAAGGAACTAGAGAAAAGTAAGGAATGAACAGGGGTTGATAGAACAAAATGTTCTATTTTTACCCATCTAGCCTTTTTCGCCTAGCTATCCTAAACTTACAGTTGATTTTCTCACAGTAAGGCTATAGCTTCAAGAACAACTGAGGTCATTATCCAGGTAAACAAAAGCTAAAAACATCTTCATCTGATATAAATATATTTCATGAGGAAACAATTTGGGGATTCCATCTATCAAAGTAATCGCCCCAATTTTTCAGTTTATTTTGCAAGCAATAGTATTCCCCTAAACATTTCTATATGCTTCTGTCACTGTTTTGACCTTTTTTTTTTTTCCTGAAGCCATTGGCATTCGAGGCATTCTGAAAGAATTAGTTCTCTTCAAAAGCAGTCTACAGCCAGGGACTTGTGTCTTTATCTCATTTACTCACTTTATTGATGAGCAAAGTCATTTTGGAAAAAAAAAAGGTAAAACTCGAGTTCCTCAAAGAAAGTTCCATATGACATAAAAGCAAGATAGTCCTACAACTGAGTGGGGGGTGGGAGTGGCAGTAAGCAGGCAATGTGGTATAATGTAAAGTGTGCTGGATTTAGAGTGAAAGACTCTGGGGTTGGAATCTCACCCCTGCCATTTTACTACTTCTATGACCCTGGCCAAGTTATGTCCCCTCTCTAGGCCTCAGTTTCCTGAGATGGACTCTAAGATCACTTCCAGCTCTATCCCTTACACATTCTCTAGAAGGCAGCAAATTAGAGAATTAGTTGCTATTATTTTGGCATGGTTTACGACCACCACAAATGTTAAAAAAAAAGATAATGGTCCCAGAAGACAAAGGTACAATGGGGGAACAAGAACACAGTCCATCCATATATCCATTCCAGACCTAGTAGAGGGTCTATGGTGTACCCTGGTTTTCATACTAACCCAGAGCATATCAGAGTTCTGAGAAGTTTGTTAAGAAGAACCTTGAAGAAAGGAATGAATGTACATGGCATCATATCTGTTTTTGTCCCATCAGCTTCAGGTACTAGCTGGGGGCGGGGTTGTTTAATAATTAGAATTTTAGAAAAATTGACTCAAGGAACTAAAAATCTACTTCTCTACATGAAGAATGGGAGAGTTCAAGACAATTTTTATTTAAATGAATCGCTGTTACTTAGAATATAATTTTTTAAGTAGTTAGTCCAAGATGGTTTAAAAATTAACCTTCTGTTGTGCACCAACTTGTAGCACACTCAAACATATTCTTATACAGATTTTTTTTAATGAAACTACACTAGAAAACTTATAAACTTAAAATACATTTTTCTTTTTACCTTATCAAGGTGAGGTTGTGTTGTCTGCACATGTTGTAGTTTTTTCTGTAAACTGAAAATATTTACACATTCAGAGACTAATACTCTTACTCTTCTTAATTACCTATGTTTTTGAAGGAAAAAGCTAAATATAAAAGATCATCCAAATTCCAATTCAATCTCCTACATAAATACAACTCCCATCTGCAAAATACTATAAAAGTCCTTTCTCTACAAAAACCTGGTAAGGTCAGAAAGGCAAGTACTATTATCAGAGAAGTAATGAGACATGTCCAGGGTCACACAGCAGGTAAATTATCCCATGAAGATTTGCAGCCCAACCTTCTACCTCTAAGGCTAGTGTTCTTACTTTAAGCTGCCTCTCATACATATGAACAAAACTGGTAATAAAACTGGAAAAAAGTTGGCATAATAGGTATATATATTAATATAAATACTAACTTATTTTCGTAAGATAGTCCCTGTTAGATATTGTATTCCTTTACTTTAAAATAAAATTTCATTTTAAAGGGATAAAAAGCAGTTATGATCACAGAGGAAAATCAGGCATACAAACAACATTTGCTGTTGGAATTACGAATTTGAAGGGTTCACAAATATATTCATTGCCACTACTCAATTGTAAAGTGTTCAGTATTAACTTCAATTACTTTAACCCAGGCTTGCAAAAATATCAGTCCAGAAACACTTTCTACCGTGAAAAATTTAATCGACTTTCCCTTTATTTTCTAGAGTTGAAGCACAATTACATGTAAATGGGGCACCAGAAACATGAAGTTTTGTCAGTATTTCCTCTTACTTTTCAAAAATTTTAAGTTTAGCCAATGTTCATAAAATTTTGTGCTCATCAGGGAGAGAGAGGCTTAAATTGTTAAAAATGCAGTATTCAGAACAATGATAAATGATACACTTAACAACTATGGTAAATATTCAGACACTAATGGGGGAAAGTGAATGGAGACTTCAAAACAAAACATCTGTAAGGTTTTAAGAAGAACAGTAAGGGGTAAATTAGTAACAGTGGATTTGGCAGAGAGGAGGGTCATATATATATACATATGTTGAGAAACTTACAAGTGAATGAGTCTCCATAGGGGTCATGGTAAAGAGGTTGTCAAATTAAATCCTTCCCGGCTGGCTAATTATGAAAGGATTTCTTCTGTTTAGTAGCTACACACAAATCAAATTTATTCAAGTATCTCATCTACTCTATACAGTGAAACTACACTTCTTCAATAGCCAATTCTCTAAATAGTTGTTACCAGTGTGTTATAAATAGATGTTGTTTAAGACTATACACCTTTGAAAAATAAAAAGCCTAGTATAAATGATGTGCTTTTCTTGGACCTTCCAAATTGGAAGGGACTCTGGAGGCTGCTTTAGTCCAACCTATACCTGATTAGACATCCCTGCCAAGCGGTCACCCAGTCCTCACTTCAAGACCTCTCCTGAAGCAGTTCATCCAACTTTAGCCAAGATCATTGTGAAAGTTATTTCTTAGTTGGAGTCAAAATGTGCCTCAGCACATTCTACAAATCGCTGCCAGTTCTGTCTCAGTCAATCAGAACAAGTCTAATCCTTCTTGCTCTTCCAGTCTTAAGCTATTTCTTCTCCCTGGTCTGCACCTCAAACTCATTCTTTGAAACAAGCAGTTTTATCACTACGCTTTTATACGCTCCTACACCTGTGACCTTTTGTTCTTACATGCCTTCTACCTAATTCAGTGGAAATCTGACTTTTCCTTGAAGATATCACAGAGAACTTCTCCCACCATGACTTTGTCTTCCAGGCCCTTAAACTCCTAGGACAAGGAGACATATTCCTTGGTCCTTGATGGCACTATGAGCCCAATGACCTGTTCTCATCATTCAATAATCTTTCCTCTTTAAAGTTCACATCATCAAGAGAAGACATCTTTCTCCTTCCAGTACAGAGGTCATAGTTCCAGCTGATTTTGTTATAAAGGTCATTGGTTGTTATGGGTCTATATCTGCAAATGACTATACTAGAAAAAAAAGGCATCAATAAAACTTAGTTTTAAAAAACATGTTAGTAAGTCAAACCATTTTTGATTCCGGATATTCTTCTACGATATTCTCCGACCTTTCTAAATGGCACTGGTACCAGACTCGTAGTTTTCTTCTCTATCTTGTCATTATCCTCAACAATTTCACTATTTTTATTGACAATCCATTTCATAAACTGGACTGATGATACCTCAAACTATTCCACTCTTATGACTTCCATCTCAACTCTACATCAGTTACCTAACTGGGAAAGCCACACCTTAGATATCCCTATCGCTAAGGACTTCTCTCCATCTCCAAAATCTTTTAGCTCTGAAATTCCCCTCCTGGACTAACCTTCTTTCCTTACTCTAATCCCACACCATTACTCTTACTGATACTGCTCTTTACTTTATTGTGAAGTCTAGTTCCATGACTCCTTCCTATTACTCATAACTCTAATCTCACTTGCCTTCTACCCAATCAGTCATTTAAGTGACACACTTGTCTCCATACGTGAATCCCTTTATATAGAAACTTTTCCCAACATGCTAATTCAAATCACAATTCCAAGCAACCCCCAACATCTTGCAGTCTGAAGATATCCTATGCTGCTGGTGAAAGTCACAGAACTGTAATGTCCATTACAAATTTATTCTATCTAACCTCACCTAGAGCATTATTCACGTACAACATCTTTTTATTCATCTCAAGTCTCTATCAAACTCCCAAGAAAGACAATGTTCCCAATCTTTTCCCCTTTCACACTCATTCTCAGGCGACTTTATTTTTATTTCCTATCCTGTAAAGTATAAGGCCAACAACAGGTCCCTATCATTTTAATGATTATATAATGGAATTAAATTTAATGATTATATAATGGAATTAAAAGTTACAGTGATAAAAAAAAAGAAAACTTCAGTAATAAGAAAAAAGCAGAAAGACTTAAAGAAATTGAACCTATTTGGGGTAAAAATTTTATTCTACAAAGAAATTTCCAGAATGAACTTTTTATGATAGGCATAATATTGAACACAAATCACTTCTAAGTTCTAAATATAGGTTAAGCTTATTTAATATCACACATATGAGTTCAAATTCCTTTAAAAGTCTTTTTTTAAAAAATTAAATCAATTTTTAAAAGTACCAATTCAAGGCTAGTCATAGGATCAGGAATTATCTTAAGTGCCTACACCACTACATATGGTAATATATGAATGAAGACAATGCACTCCCATAATAACTTGTGTCAAAAATGTCAAGACCTGAGGCAGAATAACGTAAGAGGACATGGGGATGCATAAGTGGGTATGAGAAGAGGGACAGAAAGCATACAAACTAATACTAACAGCTAGCATTTATAGAGTACTTTAAGGTTTGCAAAGTGATTAACAAATATCTCATTTTATTCTTACAACAACTCTGGGAGGCAGGTTTCTATTATTATCCCCATTTTACAGATGAGGAAATTGATGCAGGCAGTGGTTAAGTAATTTGTGTAGGGTCACATAGTTAATCCGAAGTAAATCTGAACTCATGTCTTCCTGACTCCAGGTCCAGCGCTCTATCCACTGCATCACTTTGCTGTCCCTTACATATCAGGTCTCCTGTATCTTATCCATGGGGTAATGAGGCTTCATGGAGATACAGGTAGGATTTGGATAAGTCCATACATAACTCTACATAACTCTTGAATCCTTTCAGGACACAAACCTGGAGTATTTGCATAAATGAATAATCAGGAGAATGATGACTCACCACCACATGCCCTCATGGCATGGTCTTAAGGGGTAGAACTGCCCCACCCCCCAACTCCCCTGCTCTGAGCTTGGATAAGCTACACATCTTTTTTTCTTTAATCAGGCAGTCAATAAACAATACATAAGTGTCTCCTAAGTGCCAGGCTGCATTAAAAGAACAGTGTCTACAAAGGAAGTGGCACTTCCCTTGTCCCACTAGATGGAATTCTGTGTTCGGTTTCGATAACACTCTTCAGTAAGAACTCAGACAAGCTAGAATAGGTCCAAATGAGGGCCATCGGATGAGGAAACTGGGACTCAGGCCATGAGAGTAACAGTTGAAGGAATGACAGGGATTTAATGTAGAGGACAGAAGACTGAGGGGATGGCTGAGATCTTCGAGTGGATGAAGGGCAGTCATGTGGAAGAGAGATGAGATTTGTTCTGCCTGGCCCCTGAATTAAGAACCAAGAGGAGGTACAAACTGCAGAGGAGCAATACTGTCCACATCAGGAATGGGCCCATCACTGGAACACTTCAAGCAGAATGTCCATGACCATTTGTAAGGGACACTGTAGAAAGGATTCCAATCAAAAACAGGCCCAATGCTTTTTACTTTTGAGGCCTCTTCCAACTCCTACACTCCGTGAATATCAGGGATCTGAAATGGGCAGCAATGTAAAAGGACAGAAAGAGGATGGAGGCAGGAGATGCCAAAAAACTTTCAAGTTTGTCCAGGACTGCTGTTTACCTTCAATGACTACTGCTCGCCAAATTCAAGCCATGCCCTGTGGTACTTTTTGGTGTAACTGCAATGACTGGTAGCTGAATGGTGCAGTGGATAAAGCATCAAGCCTGGACTGAAGAAGATCCCAGTTCAAATCCTGCCTCAGATAGCTACCAGCTGTGTGACCCTGAGCAAGTCACTTAACCTCTGTATGCCTCAGCTTTCCTCATCTGTAAAAAAGGGCTAATGATAGCACCTACTCTCCAGGGTTGCTGTGAGGATGAAATGAGGTAATAACTGTAAAGCACTGAGTACAGTGCCTGGCATATAGTAAACACTAAATAAATGTTAGCTATTATTATATTATTACCTTCTTACTACATGGAAAGCAAAATTAGCTTGTCTTCAAAACTTCTCTGAATTAATTTAATTCATAACAGTTAAGATTGCTAGCCTGTCAAACAAATAAAACTTTCCATTTTTCAGAGGGTGGGAAGGACAGGAATAGTTTAAGAAACCTGGAAAATTATCAACTGGCCAGTAGGTAAGGACAACACTGGTTGAAAAATGAAAATAATTTTTTAAAGTAAAGGTAAGCGGCCAGAAGTGCATTCACTCTCTAAATCTCTAAGTTCTACTTTAGGTAAATGAGAAAAATACCTTATAGGCAACCCTTAATTTAGGAACAATGGATTTATGATCCATTTCCTTATACATAATCAATCTGGAGCCCCTGAAACAAAACTGTCTTTTGTGCCCCAATTCGGAACACCTGGTAAGTGACTATCCCAGGGAGGTAACTTTTCTTATGTAGGTGTAAAGACAGTTACTGGCTTACAAATCACTGATGCCCAGGAGTCTCTGTACCTGAATGGCAATGCCTAGGAAATGACTTCATCTGCTATTAAGAGGAAAGAAATGTACTCCAAGCATTCAAAGATGAAAGAACTCAAAAGGCCTTTTCCCATGTACCTAATGTTATAAAATGGCAAATAGGTAGAGATGAAAATATTATTAGCACTAGACTTCCTCATGAATTAATAAAGGCTTCTGTGAGCTGTCTTGGAAACCTGAACACCATTTAAAATATTGTTTCTATCTAGAAATGAATTCTGAGCTCCTAATGACAACTTCAAAATAACTTCTGAAACATCACCCACTCACAAACTGTAGACTATTTGGAATTATTAGTGTTAAAGAAATGATGGGAAGCTTAAGGTGTAATAGGCTCCATGAAATACAGAATCAGAATTAGAAAAAGGTAATTATAGAAATAAAGAAAAGAAAATGACTACTGAAATTACCTGATTCCAGAGAGATTGTCAAAAGAGTGTAAATCCAGTACATTAGAAAGATCAACTCTAAAAGAAAAAAAAAGGAAAAAATCAGAGACAGTACAGTATATACCAGCATATCCTACCTTAAAACCATACCAATCAATTAACAAGCATTTATTAAGCACCTTCTATGGACTAGGTAGGCACTGTGCTAGGTTTTGGGGCTACAAAAGCCAAAGTCAAACAGTCCCTGCCTTCAAGGAGCTTACATTCTCTATCACGGGAGACAACATGCATACATCCAAATATATACAAAATAAATACAAAGCAACTGGTGGAAGAGGAAACAATGGCAGCTGGAAAAATCAGAAAAGGTCCCACATAAGAGGAGGTACTTGAGCTAAGCTTTGAACAAAACTAGACATTCTAAGAATTACAGACAAAGACTGCTGCATTCTGGACACGGCGGGCAGCCTTTACAAGGGCAATGAGACCAAAAAAAGAGTAAGCTGTGTGTGAGAAGCAGCAAGGACAGTTTGGCTGAACCACCCAGTGCAGGAAGGGGAGTGACACATACTAAAAGTGGAGAGGTAGGTAGGAGAGAAGACAAGGGGTAAAAGGTTTTAAATACCACCGAGTCTGATCCTAGAGGTAATAGGGAGCTATGGTATTTACTGAGCAAGAGAGTGCCACCATCAGGTACAAGCTTTCGCAGCTGTATAGAGCATGGTCTAGAGGAGCAGGAGGGGAGAGCAGGACGACCAATTAGGAAACTGTTGCTCGCTGCAATAGTCCAGGCAAGAGGTAAAGAGGATCTGTAGCTGTGTGGGTAGAGAGAAGGGGGGCAGATACAAAAGATGAATCAACAAGGCTTAGCAAAGGAGCTCCACCAACTAAATATCTAGATGTAAGTTGTAGGCGCGATATTGTGGTGCATATTTTGAAACTGAAACAATGTCATAAAAATGTTGGACAGCATGAGTTGAAAATGGTGCAATTAACACATAAGAATATCACTGGTAAGGAACAAAGCTTAAGGCACACATTTTAAAAGAGTTAAAAAGAACATCGTTTCCAATAGTTTAATAAGAGTAAGTTGTAGGCCTTCATCAATTTCCATTTTTAAAATATTCACAAGATAACTTAAGTTATTTTAACATCGCAAACAGATGAAAATCAATTTCAAGATTTACAACTCCTCTGAAGAAGCTAACTCTTTGCAGTACAAAATAAGATGGAATACATAGAAACTCTGAGTGGCTGAGGGGAATGCAAAATAGTATTCTGGGGAAAATTCTTTTGGAATTCTTCCTCACTCCTCAACTCCAAATTATTTTCCCCTCCTAGTAAACGGGTGGTTAATATAAAAACCTGATACCAAGATATGATATTAAACCATGTCACAGTTTGTTACAAGTATTAACTTGTACCGTGACACTGCTTAGTGTAGCAGAAATGTGGAAATCATCCATCTTTTGGGCTTACTCGTTTTCTGTTCTTATTTTTTAAAATTACAAGCTCTATAATCTTCTCTTTTTTTTTTAATTTTTTTATTTTTATGAAGTTGGGGTTAAGTGACTTGCCCAGGGTCACAGAGCTAGTAAGGTCAAGTGTTTGGTCTGAGGCCACATTTGAACTCAGGTCCTCCTGACTTCAGGGCTGGTGCTCTATCCACATCTCTCTCTCTCTCTCTCTCTCTTTTTTTTTTTTAAACATAAGTGTTCAGGAACAGAAATTTTCCTTTAAGGGTTACTCTGGTTTCATCCCATGTATTTTGGCATGTTGTCTCACTTGTTGTTCAGTCATTTCAGTTGTATCCGACTCCTCGTGACCGACCCCACTTGGAGTTTTCTTGGCAGAGACACTTGGTAGTAATTAAGGGTAATGAGGAGAACATAGGCTAGAATCAGACCAATATAATACATAGTGCCATTTACATCTCTCCAGTTCATTTTACAGATGAGAAAACTGAGGCAAACAGGGTTAAGTGACTTGCTCAGGGTCACACAATTAGTAAGTGTCTGAAGCCAGATTTGAACTCACAAAGATGAATCTCATTTACCATCATTCTTTAACATAATTTTAATGTCTCTAGGATTTAGTTCTGACCCACTCATTATTTAGACTATTTTAGTCTCCTTCTGAGTCTGCATCTTTGATTCATATTTCCTTTAATGATTACAATTTTTATTGCATTATGGTCTATAAAGGATATGCTTAGGATAATCTCAGTTCGAAGGGCCCCCATAGGACCTCCATTACAAGCCCTACTTGACCACAAAGCTCAAGGAAAGAAGAATGGATTGGAGCCAGAGGAACTGAGTTCAAATTCCATCTCTGCTATTTACTACTTTGTGACTTTGGGGAAATTAAGTATTTTGGGCCTCACTCCCTCATCTATAAAACGGGGGTGATGGACTTCCTTCCTTCCCCTCTCCACTTTTCATCTCCCCTTTTTACATGTTGTTTTCCCCCACTGGAATGTAAGCTTCTAGAATCTCCATTGCAGGGTGACTATGAGAATTAAAATGAGAATGTGTTTAAAGTACGAATCTCAAAGTGCTATATAAGCGTGAACTGTCTTAGCTGTGAATTTCTCTTCCATGTGACAGTCCTTCAAATACGAGGGGTCAGCCATCAGTTGGTACAAGTTATTACACGTGTTTTTCATATTCTGCATTGCTGGCTTGTTGCTCTAAATCTATTATCCTATGATTCTCTCAAAAGTCTTCTCCAAGGGGTATTTAAAAACAAGAACAATTGGGCTTGGAGACAAAAGAAGTCCTAATGGGTTTTATTTATTAAAGCCTACCTTTGATTTGCCAAAATTATTGTGTGATATTAATCCAGCCTTATTAGCTTTTTTTTTAACCATTTCTTTACTCAAACCTGACAATGCCTGCATTGCATAGCCAGCATTATAGGTTTCAGTTTTCCTTTATTTCTAAAAATAAATTTTACACAAGCCACATAGGAAAAGTCATTAATTTGGGATTTACTAAAGATCATAATAAAAGCAACACCAAAAGAAATCATGCACCAAAGGTCCTACTCCAGTACCTCATCACTGAAATGGAGACAGATGGCCCTGGGTTTCTAAAAACTATGCCATCACAGCAACCTTATGCAGGTCCCACCAAGTCGGAAATGTTTCTGAGGGACTAGCCGTACAGCTGTATATCTGTCACCTGAATACTGGCATCCCGAAGCTCTGACAGGTTTGTTATCATGTTGGCTACAGGGTGATATGTTTTTCAGACACAGCAACTCCCAAAGAATTAAGCCATAGCTTAGGCATAGGAGGTGCCATCTGCTTATGATGAGAGTTTTCATATCGATGAAATGACATATCATTAGAGTATAAAAATATAAATAACAAAAATGTAATTAAAATTCTAAATCAGGCTCCTGGAGTTTGGAAAATGATGATTAAATTTCTCCCAAACAGACAAAACATCAAAGCTTCTCTCTCAGATTAAAACTTTTTAAAAATGTGAACTTAGAAGATTAAAAGCCTGTGTTGGTTTATTAGCAGCTGTGCTAGCTTTGTCCACTCCCAGCAATCTCATTTTGCTCATTCTCAGCAAACTTTAACAGAAAGATTGTGTTCACTTTAAAATACATTTTGCTCTCTGGTCTATTGTATTTATTGAAAGTATGAGAAAATCAAAGCAATGCAGACAACCCATTCTGTTGAACACTAAACACCAGTTTAGATGATGACTGCTTATCCAAGGCTCTTAGAATTTTAACTTTGGCTCCAGAAGGGACTGCTGAGACTACCTAGTTCTACCCCTCACTGGACAAATGAGAAAACTGGGACCCAGGGAAGTAAAATGATTTGCCTGGGGGAGATGGGAATCTAGGACTCTTTCCACTACCCCAACAAGGAGGCTCCTCACAAAGGGACGGATTTATGGTTCTTTTTTTGGGGGGGGGGTTAAATGAACAGTAAAAGTGATAACACAAGAAAATGCAAAAACATTTCAAATGTTTAACTCACTAGGACTTGCAGAATTGTCAGAATGCTGGAAGAAAAAAAAAATGTTCCTCACGGAAATGGGGAAGTTCACTCTTTAAACTAAGTAGACTCATGCAAAATGCCACCACACAGAGACTGGTGACCACTTCTGGATTCTTAAGATACCTGCAGACTAATGGAAAGTTACTGTTTGGGTTGGTCTAGCTTTTACCAACTTTCATTAACTGTCAGTTTCCTGATACTCTGCACTACGTAAGTTAAAAAGACTAACTGAGATTAGGGCACCAACCTTTAGTATTACTCATTATTGTACTTCAACTCAGAATTGCAAAATACATATTTTTAACCTGAGAATTTTCTTTTTTTTTTTAAGGAACCAAGAAACATTAGGATTAAATTAAATAATTAAATTACACATTAGGATTTAAATAAATTTGAAATTTAAAACATACTTTTAGTACTTGGATTATGGTAACCCTTTCAAAATTTCACACTTTTAGGATACAGAACCAAATTAACCTTGAGTGACTAAGGTTTTTGATTCCACTCTTCACTAAAGAAAAATGTACTCTCATGCAACCAATCATGACTTACCAACTTTAGTTATAACAATACTGAAGCTCCAGTGTGGCAATTCAATTTGCCAAATGGATAACTTTTTTTAAAAAAGAGCACCTAAAGATGTATTTTTTTAAAGAAAGTCATGGTTTTTATAAAATTCAAAGAGCTAAAAAGAACCATCATTCTTGTCCAAATTATAGGAGACCCTCAAATATAAGCTGTACCCCTAAAATGAGATTTTTTTTTTAAAGGAAAACAGAAATATAAAGGCATACACTGAAAAATAACTGATTATAGGTCACTCTATATTTTGATATAAGCTAGAACTGGGGTAAGGGTAATGAGGAGAATGTAGGCTAGAATTTGACCAATATAATAAATTATCTGCAGATGATTCAATCACACTAAGAAATGATAATCAGTTTATCAGAATATAATACAGGACTGGCAATAAAAGGATTAAAAATACCTTGATCTTTGGGTCTCTAAGATTTTTCCTAGTCCATTTATTGATCTGAAATAAACAAATACAGAAATAAACTAAAAAACAGAATGTCATACTTTCAAAATCCAAAGTAAAACCAAAAAGCAATGAATATTACTGCTGAAACAAGGACTAAATAAGCATAACTGTATACTTAGGACTAGAAAAAAGCAACTGAAAATTTTACATACCCAATAATGAAATTCTTTTTTTCCTGAAAATACTTATGCCCAGCTGGCAATAGTGATAAAACCTATTCTTCTTGGAAATATTTTTTGTCCATTGACAAAAGGATTCTCTATAGTTTCTTCTCTGAACAGTCAGCAACTTCACCATTTTGAAGCTATGCAAGGGGTTCCTAGAGAGCACAGCTCTACAGGTTTTCCTTTGTAAAACCAGCACTCACAGAACATTGTTCTCTGCTCTGGGGTAGGTACAGAAGCTACCTAACCACCTTCCCTCAGAAAGCAACTTAAACTTGGGCAGAGTCAAAAGTTATCCTGGGATAATGGCTATATGCCGATTTGACTTCTGTTATGTGGATCTGTCCACTTGGTCAGTCTTCTGTCTGTTCCTCAAGTTTCCTCCTGTGGGCTCCAACCATAAACCTTAAATGACCCACATTTAGTCACTTAGATTCTTCTTCGTCTTTCTGTGGTTATCTCAAGTTTCTTGTCTCTGACCGCTCACCTATAAACCCTGGCTGTGCCTTTCTCTGTGTCTATGACCAATGAATGCTGTCTCTAACCTACCTACTCAGATTTCATACAATTCCCATGCCCTCCAGTTTTGCCTGAAAACTCAGAGTCAAATCTCAGTCTTACCATCAATAGCCATAAAAGCTGCAAGCCTCTTTCCCTTTCTATATGAATAGTTTTCCTGGCTGTAATTTCTAACCTCTGTGTCACTTTCACTGTTAGTAGTTAAGAAGTTTTTGTTTAATTCACTTTATTCATGTTGCATGCCACCTATCTTCTGATCATGCACTTTCAATGAAGATGATTAAGCTGCACCAATTAATCCTCTATCTTTCTTAGAACCACAGACTTGGAGGTGAAAGGGACCTTGGAGATCATCTAATTCAAATCCCTCATTTTATAGATGACACTGAGGCCCAAAGAGGTTGTGTTTCGTTTTCATATTTTAATCTTTTGTAATCATCTCTCTAAGATTACATGCCCTAGACAATGTCCATATATTCTAATCTCTGCCTGGAGATGAAGTATCCCACCTATGAAGCCGTTTCTAATGATTTATAAAAATGTCTATTTTTTGCTTTCTTTGCTGAGCTACTTGAGGGCTACATTTCCCTACAGCCTTTCAACTGTCTTTTAAGTTTTATTCAGCAGGATATTAATGTGAAGGGTTAATGAAGGGAAAGGATAAGAGACCCAAGCGATTTCCCAAATCCTTCCTCCCAAACGCCTATCTAGCTAGTATCCTTTAAGAGACTAACAATGACATTACTACTGAGTGCTTGACAATCAAATGACAGCTTTCTTGTTGGGTTCCAGCTTAGACAGTTCAATTATGGAGATGGTAGGTGTTGAGTGGAAGCATTACTGGTCATCTCTTTCTTTTAAACCAAAATGATTTTTGGTTAGGAAACAGGTTATATGTTTTCTCAAAAATCTTGCTGTTGGCCACTACTTTAAAATAAGGCATTGAGAGTGGGTTATGTTTAGAGTCAAAGGAGACATAAACACAACACCTGCCAGACTGCTGCTCTCTCTAACCTTGAGGCTCAGCAGCCACAGTGGCACAAGGAAGGACTCAACACTAACAGACACACTCTAGACTTCTTTTCTTAGGACAGATAAGCACAATTTTTCAAAATGTAAATTACTAAAATACAGCTTCTATTAAAAACAGCATTAAATGTGCAGGAAAAAATTAAATCCATGAAGATACCTTTCAAAGAATCACTCGTGTTTTAAAAGAGATGGGACACTGACTGACTGGGTGTCACCATTTCTGAGTCTCCCTTGGTTAGTCTGTTCCATTGACATTCCTCTCTGCTTTTTAAACCAATACTAAATGGTTTGGATGGCTACTGCTTTATAACATAACCTGATATCTAGAAATGTTCTTCTCCCTCCATCCCTTTCTTTCCATTATTTCCCTTCATAATCTAGATTTTTTTTTGTTTCTCCAAATAAATTTTGCTATTATTCTACTGAGTTCTCTAAAGTATTTCTTTTACAGATTGATTGGCATAGCATTGTAATTGAAAATTAAGTCTCTCATGTTGTCATTTTTATTATAAATGGCATAGCCCATTCATGAGCGGTGAATATTTCTCCAGCTATTTAAGTTGTTATTTATTTATTTAAAGAGCATTTTGTAATTTGATCTACCTATCGCATGTCCTTTGGAGGTCATGAAACTTGGCTGCCACTGCTCTCTGATTTTCTATATCTTTCAGAGATTCTAAAATATAAAGCCTATGCATCTAGTAGGGCCTAACTATATTTTTCCTGAGTAAATTAGTCAAGTTTTAAGACCTTTAAAGGACAGAAGAGGCACAACTAAGATCATATAAAGACAGAAGGAAATATGGTCCCTACTCTTGAGAAACTTAAATCTAAGGAGAAAAGACAAACACAGTAAGTTGAACGACAATACAAAGCAGCATGAGAGCCCTGGACAACAAAGACAACTCCTACAGAATATCAGAGGACTGCAAGACCTCTGAATAAGAATGGTCAGGAAAAGATTTACAAAGAGTCTAAATTGGAGCTGGGCCTCAAAAAATGAGTAGGAGAGAGAAGAAAAAGAGAGATGGGGGAGGGCAACATAAGCAGAGGGCATGGCAAAAGCTAAGGGAGAAATGGATAAGGGTTAAGGGAAGAAAAGCCTGGAAAGGTGAGTTAAGGTTAGGCTATCAAAGGCCTTGAGTACCAGGCAAAAGAAGAGGGTTTTGACGATGCATGTATAGTAAGGAGACACTGAAGTTTTATGATCTTACTCTTTATCTTGAGGATTAATCAATGACACTAGGAAAACTAAAAATATTTTTCTGTTATTTGCAAAATATGCATATTGAGATATAACACATAATACGCAATACTTAATTAATTCATGCCAACTTTGAAAATACATTCTCACAGGCCAAGACTTATGAATGTTTTGTAAACAGGCTTAACTTTGACTCAATCAACAATGTTTTTCAATCAATATCAACTCATCTTACGTAAACTCTGTGACCACATAAAATTCTGCTATAACATCTTACGTCTAACAATCCACTTACTGACATAATTCCCGAGGAGCTAAAATTTGGAGACAAAGGACCAGAGTTTGAATCCTGGCTCTGCCATGTGGGTGACCTTGGCCAATCACTCAAAGTCTCTGGACCTCAGCTCACTTGTAAAATGATGGGGATTGGATGATCTCTGTGGTTTCTTCCACTTCTCAGTCTCTAGGGAGTGATTGCTTTACCTAAAGCTATGTTTTGGAGGATGTAACTAATCCAATTAACAACATTAGGTGGTGCATATGTATGACATATTTCAAATAGTTGGTGGTCAGCATATAAATACTGTACCTGATGAGTGTTCTTATTTTAATTAGCTCCTCTTCTGCAACTAGGTCGGTTTTATTGATTATAACAATATCTGCCAAAGCAACCTGCCTAAATTAAGAAAAAAAGAAAAACCAAGAATTAAAAAATTAATATGTAAGTATGACCAGTTTCTTCAAATCATCATTTCCAGTTAAAAAAAAAATACAACTACTCTATTAGACAATTTACTACTATTGATTTATCACTCTTTAGTCAAGGTGAGTCATATTCATTATTAAAAACTAAAAATTTGACCACAACAAATATTTACTAAGTCCTTCATGTGGTATACTGACTTGCAAGGCTTTGAAAGGAATACAAAGATAAATAAGGCACAGTTTCTACCCTCAAGGAGCTTATAGTACAGAAAAACAGTACATAACACTATCTTAGATGAATTCTCAACTCATTTTCATCATTGTTGGCATATTATCAGTTAAATAAAAATAATTTTAACAACAATTCTGGCCCAAGAAAAGGTCAAATCTGTCAAAAAAAAATCAAATAGTGGTCTCTAAGACACTAAGAATAATGCTTTAGTTGTCTGCAAAGCTGGTTTTAAAAATAAGAGTATGGTCATTCCTCAATTGATAAATGGTCAAAGGATATAAACAGGCAGTTTTCAGATGAAGAAATTAAAGCTACCTACAGTCATATGAAAAAATGCTCTAAATAACTATAGATTAGAGAAATGCAAATCAAAACAACTCTGAGGTACCACATCACACCTATCAGATTGGCTAACTTGACAAAACAGGGCAATGACAAATATTGGAGATGTAGGAAAATTGGAACATTAATGCATAATGTTGGTGGAGTTATGAAATGATCCATCCATTTTGCAGAGCAATTTGGAATTGTGCCCAAAGAGCTATAAAACTGTGCACACTCTTTGACGCAGCAATACCACTTCTGGAGCTGTATCCCAAAGAGATCATACAAATGGGAAAAGGACCCACATGTGCAAAAATATTTATAGCAGCTCTTTCTGTGGTGGCGAAGAATTGGAAATTGAGGGGAGGTCCATCAATTAGAGAATGGTTGAACAGATTGTGGTATATGAATGTAATGGAATACTACTGTGCTATAAGAAATGATGAGTGAGCAGACTTCAGAAAAACCTGGAAAGACTTGATGCTGAGTGACGTGAACAGAACCAGGAGAATATTGTACACAGTAACAGCCACGTTGTGCGATGACTAACTTTAGTTATATAGACTTAGCTCTTTTCAGCAATGCAAGGATCTAAGACACCTCCAAAAGTCTCACGATGGAAAATGCTATCCACATCCAGAGAAAGAACTATGGAGTCTGAATGCAGATGGAACATAATATTTGCTCTCCTCTTCTTTTCTTTTATCGTTTTGTTTCCTTTTTTTCTCATGGTTCCTCCTATTGGTTCTAATTCTTCTTTACAACATGATTAATGTGAAAAAATGTTTAATAGGAATGTATATGTAGAGCCTATATCAGATTGCATGCTGTGAGGGAGGTGGGAAGGGAGGAAGAGAAAATTTAAAACTCAAAAGCTTACGGAAATGAATGTTTAAAACTAAAAATTAATTAATTAAAAATAAATAAAAATAAAAATAAGAGTACAATTATATTCACTAAAATGTAATACTTAAGAAAGCAACAAATCATGGTTATTTGACTGCTTTTTTTTTTGGCTAGGCAGCTGGGGTTAAGTGACTTGCCCAGGGTCATACAGCTAGTTAAGTATCAAGTATCTGAGGCTGGATTTGAACTCAGGTCCTCCTGAGTCCAGAGCCAGTGCTCTATCCTCTGCGCTACCTACCTACCCTTATTTGACTGCATTTTAAAGGAATATTTCTCAGACCACCATTAACTATTATGAGGATAAGACAAAAATAGTAACAAGAAAAATACACTGTAGGCTCTTTGTCATCATCACAAAGAATTTAAGTACCTAACTATACAGGACACATACCTACTAATATTTTGATGTTTTAAAATACAGCGTACTCCAAAGAACTCCTAGAGCATCAGTAAATAACTTCCCCAAGGGGGCAGCTAGGTGGCGCAGTGGATAGAGCACCGGTCCTGAAGTAAGGAGGACCTGAGTTCAAATGTGACCTCAGACCAAACACTTGACACTCACTAGCTGTGTGACCTTGGGCAAGTCACTTAACCCCAATTGCCTTAAAAAAAAAAAAAAGAACTTCCTCAAGCTACTGTGCTCTCTCTATCCCATCACTGACAAATAGCATTCAAAATTCCTGTTACCATTTCTTTTCCAACTCATTTTTTAAATCTCCCAAATCACGCTTCCAACCCTGCCATTCTACCTCAGCTTACTTTATCAAAGATTACCAACAAATATTTAATTGTTAAGTTCAATGGCCATTTTTCAGCCTCCTTGCTCTAGCTTCCATGACACTGCTCTCTCCTGGCTCTCCTCAGAGACGTCTGACTACCCCTTCTCAGTCTCCTTTGCTAGACCATCATTTATATTGTTGCCCCTCCAAGGCTGAAGGGCTGACTTTCAACTTTATACTCTGTTCAGTGACAATCTCAACTATTCCTATGAATTCAATTACCATTTTGACAATGATTTTTCCCAAATCGCTATAAAACTATTGGACTCCATTTCTGTATTTCTGGCTGCCAGATGTCTCCACTGGATGCCCTGTTGGCCCTTCAAATTCAGCACATCAAAAATAGAACTCAAAAAAAAAAATAGAACTCATCATCTTCCCTCTAAAACCTACTCTTCGGGGGCAGCTAGGTGGCACAGTGGATAGAGGACTGGCCCTGGATTCAGGAGGACCTGAGTTCAAATCCGGCCTCAGACACATAACACTTACTAGCTGTCTGACCCTGGACAAGTCACTTAACCCCACTGCCTAACCAAAAAACAAACAAAAAAAAAGAACCAATTAAAAGCTACTCTTCATTCAGATCTGTTTATTGTAATGGGGCACCATCACCTTTCACGTTACCCAGATTTCTAACCTTTGACTCTTTCCCCTTTCTAACTATATTCAATATATCCAATCAGTTGCCAAGTACATTCTCAAAAAGAGCTCTCATCTCTGTCCATTTTCTCTACTCATAAAGCCACTACTTCAGTTCAAGACCCTTATAACCATTAAACTGAACTTTTGTTAATAGCTTGATCAGTATTCTCTCTATTAAGTCTCTCCCCTTTTCAATCCAGCTGCCAAATCATCATCTTAAGGTACAGTTCAATTAAAAAACCTTTGCTGGAACTCTGAGGTACCACCTCATACCTATCAGATTGGCTAATATGACAAAAAAGGAAAATGGTAAATGTTGGAGAAGATGTGGGAAAATTGGGACACTAATGCATTGTTGGTGATGGAGCTGTGAAATGATCCAACCATTCTAGAAAGCAATTTGGAACTATGCCCAAAGGGCTATAAAACTGTGCATACCCTTTGATTCTGCAGTACCACTACTAGGTCTGTATCCCAGAAAAATCATAAAAAAGGGAAAAGGACACACATGTACAAAAATATTTATAGCAGCTCTTATTGTGGTGGCCAAGAACTGGAAATTAAAAGGATGACCATCAATTGGGGAATGGCTGAACAAGCTGTGGTATGTGATTGTAATGGAATACTACTGTGCTGTAAGAAATGATGAACAGGCGTATTTCAGAAAAACCTGGAAAGACTTACATGAACTGATGCTGAGTGAAGTGAGCAGAACCAGAACACTGTACATAGTAATAGCAACTCTGAGATGATCAACTTTGACAGACTTAGCTCCTCTCAGTAATACAATGATCTAAGACAATTTCAAAAGATTTATGATGGAAAATGTTATCCACATCCAGAGAAAGAACTACGGAATCTGAACGCAGACCAAAGCACATTATTTTCTCTTTTTATTTTCTTCCTCATGGTTTTCCCCTTCTGCTCTGATTCTTCTTTCACAATATGACTAATGTGGAAATACGTTTAATATAATTGTACATGTATAGCCTACCTGAGATTGTCTGCCATCTTGGGGAAGGGGAGAGAGGGAGGGAGAAAAAAAATTGGAACTCAAAATCTTATAAAAGTGAATGTTGAAAATTATTTTTTATGTGTCATCGGAAAAAATAAAATACTATTAGGTGGGGAAAAAACAACCCCCCCCAAAAAAAAACCCTTTGTTGACTCCCTATGATCATCAGGATAAAATAAACTGGCTTTTAAGGCCTGCAGCCTTCTTTTTCATCTTAATTTCACACTATTCACCTTTATGCACTCTACATCCAAGCCAAAGTGGACCATTAGCTGTTTCCTGAACTCTTTCCAACAAGCATTCAAACAGGCCTTCCTCATGCCTCAAATGTACAGGCTTCTTCATTTCCACCTTCCAAGTTCATTTTCGTCCTTCAAATCAAAGCTGAGGTGTCATCTCCATGAAGCCTTCCTTGATTCACTTCCCCTCAAACTGCTATTAAAATGCTCTCCAACTTGAATTAATTTTAGGACACTGCTCCTTTACTCCTTTCATTCCCTAATGTGTATTATACTTGTCCCCAGAAGCATGACAATCTCCTTGAGAATAGGAAATGTTTCATTTTGTGGGGTTTTTTTTTGTCTGCCCAAGGCCTAGTATAATGCCTTTACCTAAAGATGTGTTAGTTTGAACAGAAAATAATAAGAACAGATACTTTTGTTGACACTTGATATTTCACAGTGTGCTTTTGTTCTCATTGTAAGGAATTTTTTTTTAGTTTACTACCAACCCATCTAAGCATCTTTTAAAGTTATGTGTATTGCAACTTCAATGAGTACCTCACTGCTTCATTGATCAGGCCATCTGCTTTTTCTTCCATTAAATGCTAAGAAAAAAAAGAGACAATATTTAAGATTACTTATTTGTCATAACATGAAAAAAATTATATCTAAATGTCAATACAAGACATTTTAATTTAGATTCCTTTATTATATTGCAAACGTTCAGTTAACAAACATAACTTTTACACCATGAAACCCTCCTTCGTCCAAGCTCATTAACTTTTCTTGATAATCATCCCAGGCCAAAGTATTTTTGTTTTCCTACATAACCTAAGATTTCTTATCTAGTATTAACACTGTTCACATATATAAAAATATTAGACTTGACTTTGGGGTTAGTCTTTTTTTTTAATGTACAACTTAGTCTCATTTTTTTAGGAGGGAGAGGAGAGTTATCCCTGAATTAAAAAAAAAACACAAACTGTAATACATTTGATATGTCAGTCACATTAGATTTTATAAAATCATTTAAATCTTAAATATCCCCAAAATGTTTGATGTATCTTAGGTGATTCCAGTGAATTTCATAGCCCAAGGGCTATGTGGACAGCTCGGTAGTGAAATGGATAGAGTGCCTGGCCTGGAGTCAGGAAGACTCATCTTACTGAGTTCAAATCTGTCCTCAGACACTTCACTTGCTGTTCGACCCTGGGCAAGACACTTAACCTTATTTACCTTGGTTTCCTCATCTGTAAAATAAGCTGAAGAAGGAAATGGCAAACTACTCCAGTATCTTTGCCAAGAAAACCCCAAACGTGGTCATAAGGATACAACTAAAACTACTGAACAACAACAAACTATTTCTAACTCATCTCATGCTTTATGGGAGGCAGAAACAAGCTTTAGGAAAGTGTACACTCAGGAGTGTGCTGACAAATGTTAAACAACCAACTCTTCAGGGAAAAAAAATTATTCACATCACACCCTTAAGTTTAATCTGCATTATTGACATTTTCTTAAGTCTAGATAATCAACAAAACAATAAATTGTCTTGATTTGTAGTACTTGCTGATTTCTGAGGTGTAAATGCTCACAACCAACATTTAACAGTAAGCCTCTGGTATGAAGTGACCAGCACACCACTCAACATATACTTTCTTTGATGCAAATTCCCATGTTAAAATCATGCAACCTGTATTACAGCCTAAAAGACTCTCTGGAACTTGTAATAAGCAGTATCTCTTATTGCAATACAAAAGGATTGAATCAAGGATATTATTCTAGTTAAGAGGTTTCATTAGGAGATACTCATTAAAGCTTGTTTCCTCATCTGTAAAATAAGAGTTGAACTAGATGACCTCAAAGGTTCCTCCCAATCCTAAATCTGGGAGCCTATGATTATATGACCCTCTTTGTAGCACTTTATTAAACAGATAGTATGACCACTCCCTTTTGCCCCTGTGGGCCATAATGTCCTCAGAAAACATTTGGGCATTTGCCCAGTAGATTATGGAATAACATTCATTTCTCCAAGGAGAAGCTAAGTTTCAGCTCTCTCACCTATCTTCATATGACTAAAGTCATAAAGCCCAGGAAACTTGTTAAAAATTCTGTTTCTACTCTCCTCTGCTTCCCCTAGAAGCACCCAAATGTGAACTGATATCATAGGAATCTGGTTACTTAGACTGAATTTTAGGGATACTTAAAGCCTACTTTTCTCACCCAGCTAGGACTCCATATTATGAATATAATAAGAATTCATGGAATGAATGAACAAATTAAAATGAGAAGACTGTGATTTAAATTACTGAAAACTAGTCATATTTACACAATGTTACATGAATGTTAACAATTGCATGCCTATTTACAAACACTGAACAAACTGGATCTGAACCTACTTTCACAGAACAGGGAATATTTTTCAAGTTAGGTCTGAGATTCATGGGAAAATCTATTTTAGATTAGTTTGACATTTTTTATAGTAATAAAATTAATATTCTAGTTTGCTGACTTGGGATAAGTAAGGAATTGTTTCCCCCAAAGCCTGTCAAAATTTCTGCTGATTTCAGGCTATCTTTCTTTGGGGGACAAACACCACACATATTAACAAGTGCCATTCTATTAGAGTGGTTTTGGGCAATTCATGTTGCCTCTGTTTCCTCACCTGTAAGATGACGGGGTTGGATTAGATGACCTGGAAGATTTTTTCCAGCTTTGGGAGTCTATGTTACTATGAAAATTAAAGACAAATTGATCTCTGTATTGGAAGCCAAATAAACATAGTTTTTATATAATCTAATGTACCACTATTAGGTAAACTTAAGAAACTTTTTAATGTACCAAAAAATACTGCATGTTTTAAAAATCGTATTTTCTTGTAATCATTGACAACTTGAGCTATTCCAAATAGCAATTCCATTTTATCAAATATTAAGATGTCCAGTTAAATATACTATGGTTACATCCACAGCTAAGCAAACCATTCATGCTGCAATGTGGATAGTGATAATTTTTTTTCTGTGTGAAAAATTTTACATGATAAACATATTCACATATCCCTATTCATGTAACAGAAAATATACCTTTAATTTTTTTTTTATTTTGCCACATTATTTATGAAAAATATCTGCAAAATGCTGTTTTCCTTAAATTTTTATGTTTTTCAAAATTTGATACTGCTGACTTGTCTGTGTATTTATGGCAGAATGCTTCTTAGCTTTTGTTTAAAAATCACTAAGAGGGGCAAATAGGTGGCGCAATGGTAGAGCACTGGCCCTGGAGTCAGGAGGACCTGAGTTCAAATCCAGCCTCAGACACATAACAGTCACTAGCTGTGTGACTCTGGGCAAGTCACTTAACCCCAATTGCCCTCACCAAAAAAAAAAAAAAAAAAAAAGAATCACTAAGACAAGGATTATTTCAGTATAAAACAAATTATAAAGTAAGATTTTTTGCCTTGTGAATTACTATATAGAAAGTGAGTTAATAAGATGGCACATAGTTCTATCACAGAGTTATAATAGTATAGTATTTTGAAAATACTAATTAATCAGGAGTAAAGAAATAAGGACAGCTTAGAAAATAACACATTTAATTTGTTGTATAGAAAGAGGGAAGAGCAAAATGGTGCAGATTCAGAGTTATACAGGCAATCCCTTTTTTTCTGCTCTGCTTTATATGTGGAAATGCTCATCTTATTTAAAGTTTAAGTTCAGAATAAAAATAAATTTTTTAAAAAAGAATGTAAGTAACTGGAAACTTGAGTCGGTGACCATCAGCTGGGGAATAACTGAAAAAGTGATGGCATATAAATGTGACAGAATACTACTGTGCTGTAAAAATGATGACAAGGATAGTTTTAGAGAAACCTGGGAAGACTTGTATGAATTGATGCAGAGTAAAGTGAGCAGAATCAGAACAATTTATTAATAATACTACTGTTGAAAAAACTGAAAAATTTAGGAATTTTAATCAAGGAAATGACCAGCCACAATTCCAAAGAACTCATGATGAAGCATGCTGCCTTCTTCCCAATAAGAAGTGGAGGACTCTGGGTGCAGATTGAGACATGTTCTGGGATATGACCAGTGCGGTTTTTTTTTTTTTGCTTGACTATGCATGTCTAACAACAAGGGTTTTGTTTTTCTTTGTTCCTCAATCAGGAGGTAGAGGGGAAGGTGGAAGAGAGAGAAGACAGATTTTTGTTTATAAAAAAAAATTAATAAAAAAAAAATGCAAACTCCTGAAGGCAGGAGCAACTAGTTTCACATTTGTATTTGTAACCCTTGCTCTCAGCTTAGTGCTTTGTACATAGTAAGTGATTAACAATTTTTTTCATTAAAAAAAAAGATTGCTTACCAAATGCTTTTTCATTATAGAAATATTAACTATCCCATAAGAGCTTGATGTTATCCTCTAATTCTCTAGTCTCTACCACTTTATAGAAAGCAATAAACCAGAAAAGTTTGGTCTTAAAGTCTTAAAAATATAAATCAAGAGTTCTAAAAAATACTTTCAAAAGCAAGCAAAATTTATTCAGGATTTTTTATACTGTATCTAAATGTAGTTATGGTAAAAGGGGTGAATATAGGCAGAACTGTAATTACGAAGGATATCAGAAAAATAACCTTTTTTCTTCCCACAACCCTCATCCCAATTTCTTTGAAAATAGTTGATCTGAAAATATAGGACATACTCATGTCCACTTTATGTACAACAAAACCAAAATAGTACACTGTACTCAATTTGAATACTACAGCAACAGGCTTCCATTTTTAAATGGATATAACAGAATAATGCTGGCATTCTTTTAAGTTGATAAAAGAAAATTCTACTTATACTGACAATAGTAAAGAACACCTTTTGTGAACGTCTGGAAGATTTATTTCCAAAAGAATTCTCACCAATGTGTACAGACTCTGATGTTTGCCAAAGGGTTAAAAATAAGAGGGAGAGAAAGAAATTTCTTATGCAAAGTGATCCATTATTACATATGGAGAAGGTAACACATTCAATTCAGTCTAACATCTCATCTTAACAAGAGGGAGGAAAAAACCACTTTGTGGCAACTAAAATAGGAAAGACTACAATGGCATCTTCAACACTGTCAGGAAGGCTACCAGGTCAACTATAAAAATCTATAACAGTTTAAAATTGATTTGGTTAATAACAGAGTTGACTACAATAGAAATAAATCAACTGTCAAATATGTCAGCATAAAAGACAGGAAACCTTTCTTTTCCAATAGGTTGGTTATTTATCTAATGCTACTTGAGGTTTTTTTTTAAATCCCTATTGTATAATATCCGTTTATTTTCCTGCCTTTTTCTAATCCAAACTGTTTTCTGACTGAATTGCTTCAACAGCTTGTGCAATAACAGGAGAACTAAAAAGAAACCTCTCTCTTGACCTTTTCTCTAGAACTCTCCACTTACTGATTCTCTTGCATTAAATGTTGTCAGATTTGTAGAAGTGAAAAGAACAATGTCAGTGGGCTGGGTGGCAGGTCCTGAGAGTGGAGAGCTGTCATTGTAAGTTGTCCATTCCTTTGCCCATGATTAAAAAATGAATATTTCAGATCACTGGGTGACAATCCCATTACAGTGATAGCCCATGATATCAATTACAACTTCAGTTTCAATTTGGCTGCCTGGCCACAGGGTACCATTTCTCTGCTATCCTGGTGATGGGCCGGGTCTGTGAAGCATGACACCCTTAAATTGCTGCCTATTATCCTGGTGTCATTACTGGTAGAGCCTCAGAATTCTTTGAATTACAAGCAGCTGCTGAGGTTAAGCTTTGCAACTACAGGAACTGGACAAGTTAGCAAATTCTTTATACAAAGCAAAAGTTATTTGTCTGGCATATAACCAAGGAAATTCAAAGTTTCTATTATCCTGACAGTATGTTAGTTTTGTACAAGTATATTAATTTAATAATTTAAGAGTTTTTATTGAGGTGGCAAAAACATTAAGTATTTACTGTATTTGCATGATTCAAAATTTGACCCCAACAGTTGGCCTACCAATATAACCCATTTGCCCCTTTTCCTTGCCAAGATGTAGATCCAAATTTAAACAGTTATGAGGCACACTTACACTGCTAAACAATTATGAAGCATACATAGTTTATGGTAATATGGTACATTTCTACTAAATACGCAAAAAGAATAATAAATATCCTTGGAATATAATCTTACAGGAGAGTGATGTTTTCCCCACAGGTTTCCAAATCAATATAATCCAACTTTACAATAAAAACAAGTTTACTTGTAGCATACATTGCACCTGCACATTTCACTGCTTTTGCACATCCCAATAAAGTTTTTATTATGATATCATGAATTCAAAAATAGTCCTTCAATAGATGAAATTTTTCTGAACATTATAGAACCTCAGATATTTTCTGTGTTCTTAAATCATCTGGAAGCAAAATGAATGATCAAGAAATCAAGTATACTTCATGTTATTCAACAGAGTATGGAATTCTGTTCTGCCTTTTCATCTTACCTTCAATCCATATTTTGAATCCACAACAGATACAATTCCTGCAAAAAAGGGAAAATACACTTAAAGCTATTACCTTAAAAAAAAATGCTACGTAAAATGACTTAACTGACTAGCTCAACTTGAAGATGAAAATAAAAACTATCCCCTTTTCTCAATTCAGAATTTCACACAATGCTACTTTTTTTGGGGGGGGGGGGTGATCAAAACCTGTGATTTAATTAATTGGGGAGCTCCTCAGTATAAAAACTTCCTTTACCAGGTTGCACTGAAGATCAGCAATTGGAAAAAAAACTAAAGTCTGAATCGGCATTGAGAGAACGTAAATGACTTGTCATCGGTCAACCTATCTAGTAATGTGTCAAAGGCAAGTCTTGCACTGACACCTTCTAACTCTAAGACTGGTTCCATTTCTACTATTCTACGCAGATACTCAATAGTATAACTGAACAATACTTTTTTCTCTCTTTTGTTAATTTTACCATATAATTTATTTCTACTTATTATTTCACATTATTAAAGGTGATAGTATTAAGCCATAATGTTCTAAAGAAATAATCCTTTCAATAAAAAATTTACTTTTGTCAAAATGAAAAGTAAAGCCCATATAGTGGATATGAGGGCCATACTTTCTCCCAAGACATATTTTTGAAAATTCTAATTTTTCTGAATACCAAAATCTTTAGGTTATGTTATGAAAACATCTAAGTCTCAAACCAAACATTTCAGTTGTTCAACAAGTATGTTTAACAAAGCTTAAGTAATACCATTAATAACAAACAGAATTACAAGGAAGAGAAAGCAGTAGAATGAATATAAGAAGTTAAACCGTACCATGTCACATGCATCTTGACAGACACGTAAATGGTGAAAAGACTTTACCACTTTTTCCTCCACAAAACATTTTAAAACACAGGTTCTTAATTTTTTGTGTCATGGGCAACTTGGGCAGTCAAGTGAAGCCTATGGAGACCTTCTTAATGTTTTTAAATTCATAAAAAAAATACAAAGGCTTACCAAAGAAACCAACTATACTGATAGATAGTTACTAAAAGACTTTCGAAAACAAGTTCACAGACCCTAGGTTAAGAAGCTCTGGTTTAGGAGGACCTGAGTTCAAATCCAGCCTCAGGCCAAACATTTGACCTTACTAGCTGTGTGACCCTGGGCAAGTCACTTAATCCCAAATGCCTAAAAATTTAAAAAAAAAAATTATTAAAAAAAAAAGCAGCAGCAGCTTTGGTTTAAAGCAGGAATGGAGGAAGAGAAGAAAGGAGGAGCTAAACTACTTAAATTATAACCAGCTCCTAATTTAGCCAGACTAATGGGTTGTTGACAATCTTCAAATCCGTTTATTTTAGTATGGAATGTATAAGACCTTCCTATAGCAGATCGCCTTTCATTGTGCTTGGTTTAGGCACAGGGACAGGGACTGGAGCTGGACATGTGATTTTTTTGGTGTGGGTAATTCTCCCAGGAGGGAACTCTCTACACAGCTCAGAACCTTCTCTACAACTTAGAGCTTGAAAGAACTGCCCAGAGCACAAGTGCTCTGTGGGTGCCCTGCGCCCTGGATAACACAGCCAGGATGAGTCAGAGACAGGCCGCAAACCTAGGTCTTCTTGACTCTATGGCTGGTTATCTCTCCAATGTATGGACTTAGGTAAAAGCAGCATAAAAAGCCAAAGGAATATTACTGACATGCAAGTAAGAAGTATTTTAAATGATACTATTGAAGAGTGAACAAATTAAATACATCAGAAAACATGATCTAATATATTATATGTGCCTGAGCCCAACATAATTTCCCCTAAAAAAATCACAGGACTCGGATTTGGAAGGGTCAGTTTACAAATTATTAATCTCCATCCTTTACTATGCAGATCAGGAAACTGAAGTGCAGGAAGGGAAGTGAATTGGTCAATGTCAAACAGACAGCAACAGAGCTAAGTTTCAAATAAAGGTCTCCTCTACCTCCAAATTCAGTGATCTTTTCATTATGTCACATTATTTTTCTATCAGGAGGAGCTAAGAGGCTGCAAAAAAAAGACAGTCTCTTCCAAAAAAAAGTATGCAAAAAAATATACAGAGTAATAAAAATTTACCCAAAAAGGAAATAAAAAAATAAGAGGATAGATCTAAAGTTTTTTGCATGTATCACAGAAAATCTGAAACAGTTCAAGATGTATAAACAACATTAGATACCCTGAAATGGTTAGGTGACACATTTAAATTACTCAAGTAAAAATAAACAGTGGCCAAAAAAAAAACCACAAAAGGAAATTTTCAAAAAGTTTGTGGAAGCTAAAAAAAAAATCACAGGAACAACTGAAGCTAAAATTAGAAGATATTTAACATTAAGAGAAAATTGGGAAAATGGACCAAAAATGGAAAATAATTCAGCAAATTTATTTCAATTTAAAAACATTTATTAAGTCCCTACTATTTACCAGGCACTGTACTAGGTGCTAGGATAGATAAAAAGACAAAAATTAAGTAGTCCATGCCCATGGGTGGCTTACACATGTAAACAGACATAAAATAATCTGAGGCAGAAAGCATCAACAATCAGAGGGATAAGAAAACATTTCAGAGAAGAGATGATAGCTATTATAGGACTTTAAGGTTTGTAAAGCACTTTACAAATATTATTTCATTTGATCACAACCACAAACCTATGAGGTAGGTGCTATTAATGCTCCCATTTTACAGATAAAGAAAATGAGGCCAAGATTCAAAATGGATAATTTCCATTATATTAAATTGAAAAGCTTTTTTTTTTTAAGTTTTTAGGCAATTGGGGTTAAGTGACTTGCCCAGGGTCACATAGCTAATAAGTGGAAAGTGTTTGGTCTGAGGCTGGATTTGAACTCAGGTCCTCCTGATTTCAGGGCCACTGCTCTATCCACTGTGCCACCTAGCTGCCCCTGAAAAGTTTTTGTACAAATAAAACCATTGTAGCCAAGATTAGAAAGAAAGCAGAAAACTGGGGGGAAAAATTTATACACAGTTTCCTGACAAAGGTCTTATATCTCAAATACATAGAGAACTCTGTCAAAGTTATAAGAATATGAGTCATTCCCCAATTGATAAATGGTCAAAGGATATGAACAGGAAGTTTTTTGATGAAGAAATCAAAGTTCTATATAGTCATATGAAAAAATGCTCTAAATCTTTGTTGATTAGAGAAATGCAAATAAAAACAACTTTGAGATATCATTCAAACCTATCAAATGACAAATGTTGGAAGGGATGTGGAAAAATTTGGACACTAAATGCACTACTGGTAGAACTGTGAACTGATCCAACCATTCTGGAGAATAATCTGAAAATACGCCTAAAGAGTTATAAAACTGTACATACTCTTTGATCCAGCAATACCACTATTAGATCTGTTTCCCAAGGTGATCAGGGAAAAAGGAAAAAAAAAAAACCTATATATTCTAAAATATAACAACTCTGCTTGTGGTGGCAAAGAACTGGAAACTGATGGGATGCCCATCAATTGGGGAATGGCTAAATAAGTTGTAGTACATGATTGTGATGGAATGCTATTGTGCTATAAGAAATGATGAGCAGGGTTATTTTAGAAAAACGTGGAAAGACTTGCATGAATTAATGAAAGTGAAATGAGCAGAACCAAGACAACATTGTACACAGCAATATTATTCAAAGAATAACTGGATGACTAAGCTATTCTGCGTATTACAAATACTCAAATACTACGAAGGAAGATGGTATCCAGCTCCAGAGAAAAAACTGATAAAGAGAAGTATGCATCGTATGGTTTTATATACATACATACATATATACGTGTATGCCTGTGTATGTGTGCGCGTGTGAAATAGTGGCCTTCTCTAGGGTGAGGTGGAGAAGAAAGAAGGGTGACAGTGCAGAACTTACAATATAACCAAAAAAACGAAAAAAAAAATTTTAAATATATACTATATATGGTAGTCCTGAGACCAAAAAGTTTGAGAACTACTGTCATAGAATATGCATGCAAATTGATGATGTTACCTTCATCACAAAGAAGAAAAAGGCAAGTTTAGAAATGCAGAAATATTATACACTAGACATTTATGGGTCATAATACAATAAAGTTAGTAGTGAATAACTATACTAAAAAATATAAGTCCCTGAGGAAACAATAATAACTGATATTTATATATCACTTTTAAGGTCTGAAAAGTGTTAAATATATTATCTGATTGGAAACTGGGAGTGATTCAACAATGTCTGGGCTACAGAGGAAATTATAAAAATAAGAGTTTATGCCCAGAAACAATTACAACAGAGCTATGTGGAATGATATGGTAGATAAAGCTGGCCTTACACTGCAGAAGGTCTGGATTCTAGTCCTCCCTCTGATACCTTCCTCACCAGCTGTGTGGTCCCAGAAAAACCACTTCACATCTCAATGTACCAGGCAACTCTCTAAGGCTGTAAAATGAAGACCAACTGAAGATTTGCACTGGTAAAGGGAGTTTTCTGCACCAACGAAATTCCAGGTTCAGGAAAAAAATCAAGGTCTATGGAATGCAACCAATGTAGTACCAAGACATAAATTCATAATGCTGAATTACTATTTATTAAGAAATGGAAACTTATCAAAGCAAGTTTAGTTAAACCTAGAAAAGAAACGAGAGATTCATAAAACTAAAAATGAGAAGACAATCTAACTGATCAACAAAAACAAGTAATTTCTAAGGATGAAAGAAACTGATAAATTAGTAAGTCTAATTAAAAGAAAACTAACTAAAATGAAAAATAAGATTATTTATTGCTAACAAATTTGAGAATTTTTAAAAATGAAGTTATTCACAAAAATGTAAAGTTATTCACAAAAATATTTACAAAATTAACAAACCAAGAAGGAAATAACCCAAATAGACCAATTTCAGAAGGAAGAATCAAGGAGAGCATTAAAGACCTGTCCCGCAAAAAAAGTATCAGTACCAACTAAATTTTTGTAGAACCAAAAATTCCTATGCTATTTCTAAACAAAGAAAGTCACTATCCTGTTTTCTGGTCTAATGAAGCAAAGTTTTAGTCTCTAATTCAAACAAAAATGAGACCCCAAAAGGCCTTAATGAACTGACACAAAAATATTAAATAAAATACTTGGGAAAAAAAGTGGGCAACTACAGGTGTGGAACATTACATATGTCAGACTATTTTTTTTTCTTCTAGGTTTTGGCTCATTCTGTTCAACCTTTTCCCCTCTACTTTATTTTTTGTTATAAGAGATGACTTTCTGGGAAGATGAGAGGAACATACTGAGAAACAGAAGTGATATAAAAACAGAATATATCAATAATACTTTCTTTTCAAAATAAACTTTTGCAAACAGAATATAGGAATACATCAAGGAAATTAGCTATCTGGATTTCCAAAATCTAAATTATGATTGGCAAAAAAAGGTTTAATGACAATCAATATAATAAATCATACAAAAAAAAAAAACCTATGTCATTAAATGCAGAAAAAGATTTCAATATGAAATCTTTGAACTCAGGTCTTCCTGACTCTAAGGTCAGACCTCTATCCACTGCGCCACCTAGCTGTCCCTATACTTCATTTTAATTGAAAAAGTAGATAGAGCACCAGCCCTGAAGTCAGGAGGACCTGAGTTCAAATCTGACCTCAGACCAAACACTTGACACTTACTAGTTGTGTGACCCTTGGCAAGTCACTTAACCCCAATTGCCTAAAAATAAAAAAATAAAAAAAATAATAAATTTAGAAAAAGTAGAAACTGAAGAAAAAAGAATGGCCTTTTTCTCATGTTGTGGGGAGGAGAGAAATTTTTATCAAATGAAAAAAATTATTCAAGATATAACAAATAGATCTGAAAAAATAAAAGAATTGTGCAGAACAAGGTCTCTGTCTCTCAAAAAAAAAAAAACAGACTGGGAAAAATTATTTGCAGTAAATATTATTTGATACCAAAAACGTTTAAGATCCTCAAGGTAGGTAATACGAACTTTTTTAGATAAATTATTATAGAGGATTCTTCTTTGAAGAAGAGGAGTAAAAGACACCGCATGATAGGAAGAGAATTTGGGCTAAAGGTAAGACAAGAATGATGGACGGCACATGGAAAGTCAGCGCAGATGGATCCCTGTGGTAAAATGATGGGCAGATATGGACAAGGGGTGCCCAGGATGAGTTGGTAGAGATAAGCTAAGATCTGCAGCACTGGAGGACTCCTGAACTGATGCCATCACAGATTCATTTGAAAATTTGGGCATAGAGAAATTGCAAAGTGGTGAAATGACATGAACAAGCATAGAAATAAAAATTATAGAAATAAAAATTGCTAATAAACATGGGAAAAGTTGATCAGATTCCCTAATAATCAGAAAAAATTCAAATAAAAACTGTAAGATACTACTCAACATACATCAAATTGGAAAAATATATATAATATGTATACACACACAAATTCAATGTTGATGAGACAATTTTGAGTAGTTTATTAACATTTATGACATTGTTGATGGAACTGTTAACTTAATGGTACAAATTCTTAGGAGGGTAATTTGATACTATAAAGTAAGGTATAAAACTGACCATATCCTTTTAACCCAAAGATTTCAGTGCTGGGACTATAGCCTAAACAAATAAAAAAAGTGAAAAAGGATCTATTTGTACAAAATTTTTCTAACTCCTTTATTTTTAATAGCAACCCCCCCCCCCAGAAACCGATACTGTATCCATTGATTAAGGAAGGGCTGGATGAATTGTGGCACGTTCATGTAATGGAATAGTATGGTGTCATCAAGCTTTTACCAAGTGCGTACTATGTACCAGCAACAATGCTAAGCGCTTGGGATAACAAGAAAGGCACAAACCAATTTCTGCTCTCAAGGGAATAAATATAAAAGGGATGCAAATGCAATCAGTAGAACAGAAAGAATGACATATACATTTATCTTCAACTACATCAAAAACAAAAGGAACAACCTTAAATGGACATGTTTTTGGAAGACAGCAAATGTATTTTGCTATATGCTATATTTGCTATTTTTTCCTATTTCATTAAAACGAACAATAATTAAGATTTTGGGATTTTAGTTGGAGATTCACTCTCTGGTTCAATTTGATTAATATTTGTGTTAAGTATATAATAACTTTAAAAAATAGTCTAAGTTCTTTGAGGACAGTCACCCTTATTCAATTTTATATCTCCCTCAGTGACTAGCACACAATAAGAACTCAACTAATGCTTACTAAACTGAATTGGAAAAGCAAATAAAATTTTACTTTGGGGAAAAAAAAATACCAAAGGATTGTATACTTTGTGTACTTACCATCAAGGTAAATGTCACTCCCTAATTCAGCATCAACCCAAAACATGGAAGCAACAGCACCTGTAATTGACACAATATAATAATATTAATGAAAACAATGAAAAATCTTTGCAGACCCTAAGGACACAAGATTATAACATAGTTTCCTTCAAAGACTACTCAAATAACACCTCTTTCCTAGGCCCTCCAATTGCTAACAACTCCCATCCCTCCCTGCTAAAATCACTTTGTATTTACAGTATATGTAAATGCTATATTCTTCTACAGAACATAAGCTCCTTAAGAGAAGGGACTGTCAATTTTTGTCTTTGTAGACATAAAGCCTAGCAGAATACCTAGCACATATAAATGTGTTTGACAAACCTTTTTTTAACTCATAGACAATGTTTCTCATTGTCCTTCACTGGAAAGGAAAGAAAGACAACAAAAAGTCAACTTTGGTTTTCCCATCTCCTTATAAGGACTGTACTGATCCAAATAGCTGGACTACTGTATTCTCACTATTACGACTACATTTCCTTTCCATTCCTTCCTATTCCACCCTCCGAAAAAGATCCATAAAAATTAAGCTATCTCATGTACGTGAAAAAAGGGCAGTATTTTTATTCTCTATACTATAGATAAGCAAGGGTCTTGTATTTCAAAAACAATGTATTTCAGTTTTGAGAAGAGACCCAGAAAAGCAATCATGACGATCCCTGAGTAGCCTGTGAAAAAAAGTCCTCAAATCATCTGCCAAAGAAGAAATTTGCTTGCTATTTTTAAAAAGGAAAAAGAACAAGAAAACAAACAAAAGGATGGACATCTAGTAGTTATTTATAATATGCAGCACAGGTATAAAACGGAGGTCTAGGGATAATTGCTTATATAGTTCTCAGTAAGAAATAATAACTTGTTTTGACAGGATTCAATGATTCGATGTGTATCAATGCTACAATAAAAGGAGAGAAAAAACTGACAGAAAGGAAAGCATTTTATTTTTCAAAGCATCGCAGCTCCAGTTAGTGACAAGGCTGTCGAAGAGAATGAAGCACAGGGAAGAAAGCAATGATAACTGAACTCATTCCAACACCTCAAGCTGTCCACTTGCACTGACGAGCTGCAGTCCCCCAAGCATCACTCTGTGTCAACACTGAGAGACCTGTCAGCTGTTTACAGTGATTACTCATGCAAGATATAGCAAGGGCTACAAGAGCTAATGGCTTCCTGATATCTATTGATTTTTTCCCAAAAAGCTTAATAGTTTTCCAATTTGTCTGAAATAGGATTTGTGAGTAACAGGGGCTGAATCAATGTCCTTTCTTTTCAAGAAAATTACTTTACCATGACAATTATTTAGCTTTTAACAGGAGAGTGTCAGTCCCCTAAATGGGAAACAACTGAATTGCCAATAAGAATCTTCCTCACTTTCTTGATCAAAAGTATGTTTTTAATTAACAAGAGGAAAAAATATTTTTACTTTAGAATGGTATTACTCCTAATTTAATTTCCTTCTACCACAGTTGATTTCTCCTCCACAAAGTAGAATATATCAAATCACAAGTGAATCATGATACACAATTTGCGTTAGGACAAATAAGAAGTCATCAAATGTTCCTGAGGCACAGTTTACTTGACAGTATGGCATAGGAAAATGATTGTTCAACCTGGGAGTCAGAAAGCACAGTCCTGAATCCTACTTGCTAGCTGTGTGACCACAGGTAAGTCACTTTAACATGTCTATGCCTCCGTTTTCTTAATGTAAAACACAGATAAGAATACTTCTATTATTTACCTCAAATGGTTTTTGTGAGAAAAAAAGACTTAATTAAGCCTCAAGTGGGGCAGGCAATATAACATCATGGACACAACACTAGACTTGGGATTCAGAAGGATCTGGGTTTGAAGTCTACCTCGGACACCAGCTGCATATCCCAAGGACGTTTATTTAACCTCTTTTGGCTTTACTTCATGTGTAAAATGAGGATGACAACTGTAGCAATTACTTCATAGGGCTATTGTGACGATGAAATGAGATTATATATGTATTTGAAGTCCTCTCTCTGCAAACCTTAAAGTGCTATATGTCCGTGATAATTATTACTATTATTACATCACCTTAGGGATGTTTGCAGCCATCACCTATTTGTTGCAGTCCAAAAGACTTAAGCATCATTGTTAAAAGTGTGCATCTAATTCCGACACATTATTAGTACCTTCATCAGGTTGTATAATAAAAGTTAACTTAGAAAAATGTAGGCAGATGCGTGAACTACAATGGAGGACTGGGTACATAAAGCTTGATGGTTTATAGATCTCTTTAACATGCACTATATTCTTTGAGCCTTATACCCCTGGAACACTGTCAGTGTAGGCATCTACTTTAGGTGTGGTTTTGTTTTTTAATAGATGAAGAAATAGTGGCTCAGAGAAGTTAAGAGACTTGCTCAAGGCCCCATACCTCGGCAGAGCCAAGACTACAATAGAGATGATCTGATTCCATTTCTATTTGAAAACATTTTGTAATAATAATTTCTAAGTCTTCATTGTAGTCCTATTCTAATTATGGGATGAAGAGATTCTGGGTCTTCAATGGGTTCTCAGTAGAATACAGGTCTTGGTCAATATTATCAATCTATTAAGGCTCAGGTACAGCCCCGAGAAGAATCCAGCCAGATTCCTCCAAAGCTTAATCCAGCTAAGCTTGTTGGAGAGGCATAAAGCTGGCCACAGCAACAAGTATACTGCTTGTTATTAGGTACAGAGAGGTTTCAATAGGCTTCCAAGGACGTCTCCATGCCAAGGAAATCATAGTTTTTAAAAAAAAGTATTGAAGTAACTTATAAGAAATGGATAGTATCAAATAATAGCTACAATTTAATATAGTACTTTAAGGTTTGCAAAGTGCTTTACAAATATTCCATTTTATTCTCACAACAATCCTGGGAAGTAGGTGCTATTATTATCCCCATTTTACAGATGAAGACAATGGAGATAGGCATAAGTTAAGTGACTTTTCCAATATCACAGAGCTAAGTGTCTGAGGCTGGATTTGAACTCAGATCTTCTTGACTCCAGGTCAGGGGCTCTATCCAAAGTGCTACCTAGCTACATGTTCAAAATCCTCATTTTATATAACCTTTGAGAGAGGAAGAGAGGAAGTGCTATATAGCCTGTAAGTGCTATATAAATGTTGTTGTTATTATTATTATCCTTCTCCTTAAGATTTTAAAAATGAATTTACATTACAAAACCATGTTGTCTTTAGCTTCCAATCTCTTTATCTGACAAGGAGAACAAGTAGGTTTTTAGGTTCTCTCTGTCATGGCAATTTATTAACAGTTAAAATTGGTTTAATTAGTTATAATCAATGGCAACATCCTTTTCTCCATTAAGTTCTGATCTTTTGGCATCAAAAACTAATTTATATAGGTCAGGCTGAATTTGTTTTAATTACATACCATATATTTTTCTTAGTTTTATTCTTTATTGTATCTTTGTACTAATTTTGATATTTGAGCCAGGAAGTCAGTAGTCTGAACTATAGAGCTGATTTTGAAAATGACTCTCACTTCAGTGACAAGGCACTTCCTGTGATTAAAAGATAATCAAATTCATTTTTTGTGAAGTTATTTGGTGCTTGCTGTGTCCAGTACTTCCCAACGCTTTTCTTTTCTTTTTTTCTTTTTTAGGCAATTGGGGTTAAGTGACTTGCCCACGGTCACACTGCTAGTGTCAAGTGTTTGGTCTGAGGCTGGATTTGAACTCAGGTCCTCCTGACTTCAGGGCCGGTGCTCTATCCACTGCGCCACCTAGCTGCCCCCCAACACTTTTCTTGAAGGAGGTATTTGTGGACCAGAAGCTAAAGACTTCTACACAGTTTTCAACCCATTGGTCTCTCTCCTTCCTGCCTCCAGAACCATATTTTATGCTGTCCTCCCCTATGCCCACTTTTGTAATAAAATCACTAAATACCAAAACACAGGTTAATTTAATTTGCACATTCTAAGTCTTTCTCTCCCTCTCCATCTTTTGCAATAGAAGGTGGCCACAATCATTATCTTGGCAGTCTCTGCAAGTACTTATAAGCATTCCAATATGAGATGAGCAAATATTCCATGAAACATTTCTTGCTCCTTTTGGATGCATGAGAGAACCAATCCTGCCACCTCCATTATCTGTATTTCCAAAGATAACCTGGGAGGCACTCTTACATTTAGTTGAAACTTCCTTTTGTCCTCTGGTTTCATTTATAAAAATATAAAAATTGATAGTACTAAAGTAAATGAATTTAATATCTACTCACCGGTCATCTGATAGACATTTGGAGTACCAACCATGAAACTCTTGATAGAATGCAACGTTTTTCAGCTATTAACAAATCAATTACATTTGAGCTCTCTTTCAAACACATCCTCTTTGTTTTTATTAGTGTAGTCTACTATACAAATGATCTCTTTGAATAAATGGTACTCAATGTTGGCCGTGTGAATCAGGCCACAGGCCCATGAGACTAAGTGGAATTAGGCTACACTTAAGAAGAAACAATGTTAGTACTAACCCTAACAAATTTTGGAAACTATGTACAAGCACACTCCAACTGAGTAAAAAAAGTTAGTGCTAATTAAATGTTACTCCTACTGTTCTATTCACAGGTTGATACAAGCCTGAACTGTTTAAACTTTAAATTGTTTTTTTTAAAACCTATTTTAGAAGCTAAAGTTACATATTTAATTATGAAATCCACTAGGGAAGTCAGTCACAATTTATCATTTTTTTATTGTTGTTTGTGGAACTCTCACAACAACATTCTTACTCTCATTCTCTCTCCCTCTCTTTTTCTCTCTCTCCTTCCTTCCTCCTGCTGCTTTTGGTTCATTAATGCATTAGGGTTTTATTATATCACAATCACTTCCCAGTAATGTTCATAGTACTTTGCCTTATAATAAAAAAGTTAAACAAAACCAACCAACCACAAATGAAAGAGCAACCCCATATACCCAAAATTCACCCCCTTTTAACCGAAAAGCACAAAATATGTCCCAACATGAACAATCCAGAACCACTATAGATCATTAGCACAATAATTCCCAAGATTATTGTTATGTCCCTAAGGCAGATAAAGAACAGAAGCTGCTGGAACTACAACCTGAAATACTTGCATTAGCTTTTAAAGACCACCAAAAAAAAAGTTGAAGAAAAAAAAAAGACTAAGCAGACACAAGACCTGTAAATTTCAAAACCAAACAGTTTCCACTATCCATACTGCAATACTGCCCCTATCAAAGATCTCAACAAAAATTTACATTCTAAAGACAATGACTATTAAAGAATTTTTTAATCCTCATACACTTGTTAAAGGAGACTATGAGATGAGTTAATCTGTTACTATTTTTACATCAAATCTAAGAAAGTCAAGAGAAGCCTTAAAATCTCTTTAAGTTAATCCTCTGCTGCACACCAGTTTTTCAGACACTGTGAAATCACATTGTACAAACTGATGATTGATAACGGGTGGCACTTCTTACCAGGATCTGCCAAGCCAGTTGTTTCTAACAATATGTAGTCAAATTTTCCTTTCTTCTGCATCAAATTCTCAATAGCCTTCAGGCCATTGTCCCTATATAAAACCAAAACGTAACAAATGGGTCAGTATCTTGGGATTTAAAAACCTATCACTATAAATGTGTTTTATATTTCTAGAAATTGAAAAAATCAAATTTTCCATAGGCCTAATGAATTAATTTACCCACAAAACTACTGTGAAAATGTCATGTGTCTGACAATGTCAATAAAATGATACATTAAGGAAATGATCTCAGGAGTCTAAAGAAATTAAGAACCCAATGTCAAGTTTTTTCCTAAAACAGTAAGTAGGACTTATCTGTTTGGCTAATATATATTTTAGCTACTATGGTATATTCATGCAATTAGTACTAACAGGATAATAGTGTTACTAAATTCACAATTTTGTAACTTGTCAAGAGACTTTCAGTAAATATTAAGCTATTTTATACAGAATAAGGGACGTGAACTTCAATATCAACTCTTTTGTCCTTAAAAAATGCTAAGAATTAAAATACATTTTGGCTAACCAGAGAAAGTTTAACAATAAACACTGCCAATAAAAGGTTACATCACACATGAGAAATTTGACTTAAAAACCAATGAGTAAATCTCTCACTATACCATCGAAGTTTAACATTGGTGTTGTACTTATCTCCTGACACCACTGTCAATGTTACAACTGGTACAAAATAAGTATCTCCCCTTTTACTTCTTTTACCTATTCCCATAATTTCTCACAGTTTCAAAATGACAGGTTCTGTTTCTTATTACAAGAAGATTAAAAAAAATAATAACTCTGGAGTAAAAAAAAAAAAAGAACTAACATTCTACTATTTGATTTTTTTACACCTACAACCATTATAGTTACCTGAAAAGATTATAAATTTAATCAATTATTAACTTAAAGCATCATAAATGCGTCATATACTCAAAAAACCCAAGCACTAAGCTACTAGCCAAAACAAATAAGTAAACATAAAAACAAGAAATAAATACTTAAAATGACTTATTAGAAAACTACTTTAGCCAGTATTACGAGAAAATTTACTGAAGCTAAAATGAAACAGAAAATTAACTAAAATTCAACCCAAAGTTGACAAACTTGAGTAAAGTAACACAAACATTCCTCACTTTACAGAGCAGCAGAGGCAACCATTTCGAAGCTCCAACCATTCCTCAAACAGCTCCCCACCTTGGCTTACAGCTAAGGATTTCTCCAATGCACTTCCTGTGACACAAAGCAACAATGCTAAGTTCACCCACCAAGCAAAAATGAAAGATTAAAAAACTACTCCCCAAAAATCTGATTTCGAAGTGTTTTATTATTGATCTAGTTGTGTCAATTGCTATTAATACTGATTACACTGTGAAATAAAATTCAATTTTTACTTCAATAAACAGTCAACTACACATCAAATAAAATTAATTTTTCCAAAATATTAGGAGATATTATTAGAACCACAATTAGTTTACTGGCTCAGATTTCTTGATAATTCCTGTTCTAAATTTTTTTGTGTTTAATTATTTTTTAAAACAAGGAAATAAAAACTAAAACACTTCAGACTACTATAATGTCATATATGCAAAATGTTGAACAAAATACTTAAATATCCAAGGGGGATATTTAAACCTAAACATTTAATATAGCAGTACACATAAAAAAATACATCTTATATCTTCCTCTTTAAGTTAAGTATCCACTTCTTCCCATTCTTTGAGTTTAAAGTAACTATCTTAAAGATATTATTTGTTGTCTGTGACGAAAATGGGTTTCTTCTTTCTGCAATGGAAAATTTGGCCTTGATATCTGTTCTCATCAAACTCCTAAGGGACATACCCATCCAGTTTTCTGCTTTTTATTCTTTCCATGTTCCCAGCATGGCATAGTATACAGAAATTTGGCTTTAGAATTAAAAGACCCAGATTCAAGTCCTTCCTAACTTCTCAGTGCCCCCAGGAAACTTTCTATGACTAAGTGGGCAGAGTAGACATTGATTAATTCATGTTTCTAAAACTAGGTACCCAACAAGTCCCAGACTTGGAAAAGAAAAAAAAAATCAAGTTAAGTGGCTAGGGCATGGCCCTCCCACCTATTAACAAAACCTCACTTTAAAAAAACATGTTCTTACAACTTCCAAGCAATAATCCCTCACCAAACAATACACTAGATTCCTCTGTGATCCTGAGATGACAATCATTGTAAAAGAATTTTTCATTTTATTTTTCCTCTATTAAAAATATAAAGATAGAACCAGAAATAGGTTCCGTATTAAGTAGAGTACCTAATTTACTATTAGTGATCAGCAAATATGAAAATTTTTCTTTTAAACTTTGTAACCTTTAAACTTTAGATTACTAATAAAAAGGTTTTAGGGAGGATTTTTAGGGTTCCTAGTGTGGGCCAGAGGTAAACATTCAGCCATTCTCTATAGGCAACAGTAAGAATTATTCTCAAAGTACAATGGCTACAAAACTCAAGATTGGTATATTGCTAATCCTTGAAAATTCTAGAATAGCCAAAAATGAATTTTTGTTATTTAATGTGAAAATCAAATTTCAGCGTTTGGCCGCAACGTTTGCCATGTATAAAATCACTTTTATCACCCATACCTGCACTGTCATTTAAGCTTTCCAAATTTATCCTCATCTGAAGTTTCATTATTTCTTACGCCCTTAATTTTTATGTATGAATTATTAATTTTTAAACCATTGGGACAAACTCATCTCTGCCCTCAGTTTTTATAGCTTTACTTACCCTCCCCAAACTCATTTAAAATAACTGCTATTCTTTTGTTATGTTGTTCAGTTAGAATGTAGTTGAGGAGAGTTGTCTTTCCAGCACCTGGAAAACAAGGACATTAGTTTTAGTATCACAAACTCCATTTTTCATCTGTTTCCAACACCACCACCCCACCTCCTGTAAAAAAGAAAAGTTAAAGCCAAATACTTCAAAGTGAAAATAAATATTCTGAGACTATTTCATAACATTTTAGGGTCCTCAACGCTCTTAAGAACTTCATTCATTTGGTTCTATTGCTCAAATACTATGCCTTGAATTTTTAAAGTGTCTCCCCTCATAGGAAAGATTAAAGGAAATTTTAAATGGTCAAAACTTTTTCAACCTAACAAAAGATCTAATTAATACTACCAATAGGATGGTCTTTTGTGCTCCACTGAAACTGTAATTCAAAAGTGAGATAGAATACAACCAAAATAATAGGCTATTAAAGGAACATAAACCATGGAACTAAGCATTCGATATAAGAGTAAAAACTACTTGAAAAAATATTTCTATCTTGGGATCCTGAATATAAATGATGTCAAAGCATCTTCTGTTGTTCTGGCTTATAAAATATAATACTTTGACAATATTATATGATTTCTCAAGACTGAAGATTACTTTTCTCCGCTCTATTATTTGAAGCTAAAGACTTACTATTTAACATCTAACATTTGATTTTATTTTAAAATGCCAAACACTTAGTGACAAGCTGACATGGTATGATAGGAGGGCTATTTCTGCTACTCTAAAATATGTTTTTATTAAATGCTTAAGAATTGTGCCAGGACTATAGGAAGTATTAATACTATATAAACTAGGAAAACAGTATTCATAAAAATTGTTATTATTGTTATATATATGTAGTATATATATATACTATATATATAGTATTGTTATATGTATACAGTATTGTTATATATATATAGTATTGTTATATTATCTTCATCCAGCAGGTGGCAGATTAAACCTAATTTGTTACAGTGTAGAAGAATCAGGGTAACAGTTATCACCCATGTTGCTTGAAATAACTCGAAATGTAACTATGCTTGTAAAAAAAAAGTTTTCAATTTTACAAATATTCACATAGGTAATGATTGTTAAAACAACAATTACTCTAGAACTAACATCTTAAAATAATTCCTTAAAAATGATTTTAAAAAGTTTTTATGGACCTAAAAGTAAGGTTAAAAAAAAAAAGACATGCCTCATTTTTCACCTAAGCATATTTAGACATCTTTTTTCCAGGCAGATCATTCAAAGTGTGCAAGTGCATGTGCACATGTTACAAAGACAACTACTATATTAATAAAATATTCAATTTGAAACTCTAAAAATTCTGTTTTGTGTATCAGATAAGAACTTGATTAAAAATAGTTTCACAGGAGCTTGGTGATACAGTGGAAAGAGCATTAGCTGTAGTCCTCGATAGAGTCAGGAAGACCTGAGTTCAAATCAAAGTTTGAGCATTTAATAGCAAGTCACTTAACCTGTTTGCCTCAGTTTCCTCAACTGTAAAATGGGGATAAAACAGCACCTACCCTCACAGGGTTGTTGTGAGGATCAAATGAGTAAAGTACCTAGTACAGAGTAAGCACTTTATAAATTAATTTTTATAATTTATAAAATTATTCTTTATACATTTATTCTCTTCCCCTTTTGCAGTTTTATGCGGCAGGTCAAAAAAAACACCAAAATTTTGGAAGTTAAAACTGCAGGTTACCCAAAGGAAAGTGGAAAGACATATGGATGGTAGAAGTGGGCTACAGGTATAATTGCAACCAAGATTCACGTAAGAGAAGTGACAAAAAAGCTACACTCGAGGACACAGGCCAAGAAGAATGATAGCCTCCCAGACGCTCACAATGAGCGCTACAATAGTATCCCTGACATATTAAAAGATTGTGTATATCCTCTATACAGGAAATATACAGAAGGTCACAGACTAGGATAGCCCAGGATCACAAGAGGTTTCATCTGTACCTAGGTTCAAATTCTGGCTCTGCCTTTGAATATCTTTATGACTTTGGACAAGTCATTTAACTTCTCTGGGGCTCTGAGCTGATTTAAATTTTACTTCAAGCAAATGATTCCATGAGTTTCAAAGAAAAATAGTAGAGAGGACAAAAGAGAAAATGAAACATTAATGAATAGCAAGGTAGAGCAGTGCACAGATTACTGGACTTAGAGTCAGAAAGACTGAGTTTGATTCCAGTCAGATTCTGTGTGGCTCTGGGTAAGTCCCTAATTCTGTCTGCCTCAGTTTCATCCTCTGTAAAATAGGATAACAGCACCTACCTTCCAGGGTGCCGTGAGAACAAAATCAGGCATCTGTAAAGAGCTTTACAAACCTTAAAGCACTATATAAATGCTAGCTTGTTATTATTATTAAAAAAATCAGTTTCACACCAATTCTACCCTAGTTTATTCTCTGATACACTAAGGAATTCTCTGGCCTTCTCTACATGTAAGTTATTTTTTACCAACAAACAAGTACTCATTTGTGCGAAATAAACTTGAATGTTTTTAATTTTCACGCATTGCTAGTTTGACAAAGAAAATGATGTTAAATCTCCAAAATACCGATACCATCTTATATCCAAGAATAGTCTATTGACAAACTCAACTAAACAAGTTTGAGGTCTATTTTAAGTGAGGCCCCCCGAACTTCTGCTTCTTAATATTATAATAAAATAGATCATTAACTTTTTCACCCAATAAACATTCTTTTTTTTTTTTTTTAGGCAATTGAGGTTAAGTGACTTGCCCAGGGTCACACAGCTAGTAAGTGTCAAGTGTTTGGTCTGAGGCCTCATTTGAACTCAGGTCCTCCTGACTTCAGGGCCAGAGCTCTACCCACTGCGCCATCTAGCTGTACCCCAATAAACATTCTTTACTTTTAAGAATATCTTCCATAGAAAACCGGAAGACATTCTTTAAAATTAAGGTTCACCTAAATATTTTTTTCATAATCTTCATCTTTTCAGTCAATCCCTCAACAAGCATTTATCAAGCACTTACTATGTATCAGGTATTGTGCTAAGTGCTGGGGATACAAATACAAGAAAAAAAAACCAGTTCCATGGCTCCAAGGAGGTTACATAAAAGGGGAATTGGGAGTGGTGTAAAATCTGGAGGAACAGGGATGGTGGCTCAGGCTGTTGAGGAGTGCCCCTCCTCACCTGCAGGATGGATGAAGAAGTCACCAAAGGGGGAAAGGGCCCTGAAGCTGAAGAGAGGGAAAGCAACACAGGGGTCCTGGAAGTGAAGGGAATGAGAGATGCCTGCTCAGGGCCCATCCTCAAAACAGATTCTCCAAAGAACTCAAAGGGGCACTGGGTGAATCAGGGAGCCAGTCAATAAGCATTTATTAAGTGCCCATTATGTCCTAAGTGCTAGGAATACAAAAAGTTTCAAAACAGTCCCTATTCTGGAGAGGTTCACGACAACACGCAAACAACTACATCAGAACAAGCTTATGTATAGGATAAACTGGAGATAATCACCAGAGGGTAGGCACTAGCACTAAGGGGGACCAGGAAAGGTTTTTTGCAGAAGATGGGATTCTAGCTGGGCCTTGAAGGAAGCCAGGCAGCAGAGATGAGGAAGGAGAACATTCCAGGCACTGAGGACTGGCTGTGAAAACGCCCAGAGTTGGGAGGTGGAGGGTCTTCTTCAAGGAACAGCAGTAAGGAGACAGGTGTCACTGGATCAAAGAGTATGTGAAGATGGAGGATGTAAGGTCTAAGATGACTGGAAGGGTTGCAAGAATGGGGATGGGGGGGGGAAGTTAGGAGAGCAGGTTATGAAGAATTCTGAATGCCAAACGGGATTTTATATTGATCCTGGAGGTAACAGGGAGTCACTGGAATTTATTAAGGGGGTGACATGGTCAGATTTGCACTTTAGGAAGATTATTTTGACAACTGAATGGAGAATGGTCTAGAGTAGACTTAAGGCAGGCAGACCCACCACAGGCTACTGCAATAATCCAGGTGTGAGACAATAAGGGCCTGTACCAGGGTGATGGCAGTGTCAGAGGAGAGAAGGGACCCTACACCAGAGATGTTACAAAAGTAAAACTGACAGGGCTTGACAATAAACTGGATGGGGGTGGGCGGGTTGTGTGTGAGAGAGAATGAGGAGATAAAGATAGCCAGGTTGCCAGCCTAAGGGACTGGAAGGATGGCAGTACCCTCTGCAATAATAAGGAAGTTAAGAAGAATAGAGGGTTTGGAAGAAAAGACACTAAGTTTAGTTTCAGATATGTTGAATTTGAGTCACTTAGATCTCAGAGCCTCAGTTCTATCACCTGTAAGATAGGGATAATAATACCTTTAGTACCTACCTCACTGGGTTTTCGTTGAGATTTAATGAGAATTCTTGGAAGGTATTTTGCCACTATATAAGTCAGTTATTATTATCTTTTGAGATTTAATAAGAACGCTTGCAAGATATTTTGCCACTGTAATAAAGTCAGTTATTACTATCTTTTAAGATGTGAGAAGAATGCTTGTAAGGTATTTTGCCACTGTATAAAAATCAGTTATTATTATCTTTAGATCTAATAAGAAAGCTTATAAGGCATTTTGGCCACTACATAAATGTCAGTTATCATCATCTTTTGGAGATCTATAACATAGGATGCTAAAACTTAACAGCTGGAAGGGACCTCAGAGATTTATGGGGGGGGTGTAGGAGGGGAACTTGGATGGGGAAAAATATACTACATCTTAATTTTTCATCTATAAATCTCAGACTTCCAAAGGGTCCATGTCATTCATACACACACATACACACACACACGGTTAAGAACTCCCAGGGCCAAAAAGGTAGTGTCAGGAGAATGGGTGCAAACCCAGGTTCTCTAACTTTAAATCCAATGTGTTCCTTTTTTCCTTCCTTTTTTTTCTTCCTTCTTTTTTTCCTTCCTTCCACCACACCTGGCTGCTAAGAAGCTGCGGCTCCCACGCCTGGGGGAGGGAAGGAGGGTCTCATTCCAGGGAGGGGAAAAACCACAAACTCCTCGTGGTTCTTGTTGTTATTACTATTATCATCGTATTATTATTATTATCATTGCTGTTATTATTTAACGTGAGTCTGGGTGGAGAGTTCCCGAAATTAATGACTGCCTTAATTACCTAAATACCCGGTGATAATCGTGACCGGGATCTTAGCACAGGGGTCAGGCTTCCCCTCCTCCTCCTCCGTCTGCTGCTGCTGCACGACAATGGGGACCAGCTCCGGGCAATCCTCCTCCTCCTCCTCCTCCTCCTCTTCTCCCCCATCCTGGGGGCCACCCGTTCTGAGCATCACCGCAGGAGGGGCGGGTGGAGGGTACGAGTCACACTCAAGTGCGCCGAGCTGCGCTTTACACTGCCCCAACCTCCCGCCGAGCACGCCGTCATGCGCGCCGCGCAGCTCCCGCCCCCTGACGCCTGTGCGTCTGACGCAGTCACGTCGTCCGAGGCCGCTCCCACCAGACCCAAGCGGAAGTGCGCTACTGCTCCCGGCGGCCCCTCCTCTCCTAGCTCTCTGATGGCCACGCCCTGAAAGGCGGCACGAGGCACCAGCCGTGGCCACGCCCCTTCCTCCACCAATCCTATGTAAGAGATGCGGCGGAACTGTGGCTGGTGGTGGTAAGGTGTGTGTGTCTTAGTTTTCATTTGCAGGAAAGGTTCCGCTGCTGTCTCCGCTGCTTTAGTAGCCATAACAGCTGCAAGTGGGAGGCGGGAGCTAGGCTGGGCGCTGGACCAAGTTAGATGGAGCTGAGGCGGTGCGTGGGTGGATTGACCTAATTATTACTTACAAAAATTTTGAAGCCAAAAAATACGCGCTTTTTGTAAAAAAAAAAAAAAAGTAAATGACCTATTTTAAAATCCTTCAAACTTTGCAAACCCCATGAGGCATATCGTGGTGTTTCCTGATAGTATATTGGACATAGAACTGGACTAGAAAGGAAGGGAAACGAGCATTTATTAAGTTTTTAATACATGTCAGGCTAAGCCCTTTACAAATACTATTTGATCTAAACAACCTTGGAAAGTAGATGCTATTATTATTCCTGTTTTATCCTTGGGGGAAACTGAGGCAGTCAGTGGTTCAGTGACTTGCTCAGAGTCACATAGCTAGTGACAGAGGCTGCATTTGATTTCAGGTCTTCCTAACTCCAGGCCCAGCTGTGCCACATGTTGTTCAGAAGTGTCTACTCTTCCTGACTCCAAGCCACTGCACTCAGCGGCTCCAAAGTATGATGCCAAGCTATCAAGTCTCACATTTTTTTTTTCAGCCATGTCTGACTCTCTGACTCCTTTTGGGATTTTCTTGGCAAAGATACTGGAGTGGTTTGCCATTTCCTTCTCCAGTTCATTTTACAGATGAGGAAACTGAGGCAAACAGGGTAAAGTGACTTGCCCAGGGTCATTCAACCAGTAAGTGTTGGTGGCCAGATTTGAACACAGTAAGATGAGTCTACCTCGTGTTCCACCTATCTGCCCAGAAATCAGGAGACTAGGTTCTATTTTAATAGACTCCAATAGCAACCGGTTCCCTCTAGGATCAAATATAAAATCTGTTTGGATTTCGAAGCTCTTCATAATTTACCCCTTCCTACCTTTCCAAGCTTCTTAACACCTTACTCCTCTCTTCTGTAGTATCCAATGACACCCTCTCCCTATTCCAACTCCATCAGTCTCTTGGCTTCTTTCAAGTCCCAGCTAAAATCCCACCTTCTACAAGAAGTCTTTTCTGATCCTCCTTATTGCTAGTGCCTTCCCTCTGTGGATCATCTCCAATTCATCTATTATATATATTGTTTGCATATTGTCTCCCCACTTAAACCATGAACTTCTTGAAAACAGGGACTGTTTTTGCCTTCTTTATCTCTATTGATTTGCACAGTGCCTGGTACATAGTAGGCACATAATAAATGTTTATTAATTTGACTTCTAGGCAGTGTGGTATAGTGGTTTAAAAAGAAAGTAGTGGTTTTAAAAAAAAAAACCATCAAACATTGCAAACCCTCTGAAGCATATCATTTTGTTTCATACCATTTCTGGGCCAGTGTACTGGAAAGAGACGTTGGACTAAGAATCAGGAGAGGAAGGCAGCATGACGGCATGTTGGTTGAAGTGCTAAATTCATAGTCAGAAAAACCTGGGTTCAAATCACATGTGGACTGAACCCATTCCAGTTCTGCACCTTATTACCTATATGACAGTTAACCTATCATTGGCTTCTGAAATGAGGCCTTACTTTGAGGGCCAAGTCACTTAAACAGATTCAATTTCCGCATTTGTTTTTAGCCTCAGTTTCTTCACCTGTAAAATAAGGTGGGAGTAGTGGACTAGATATTCTCTGAGGCTCTTTCCAGCTCTTAACAATTCCTAGTTCTATACATTATGGAATTTAGATCTGGAAAAGGACTTTTGAGGTTGAACCCTTCATTTCACAGATGAGGAAGAAAGTGGTCCTTTTGAGTTATTCTTAGGATTCCCAGACTTTTTGCCTGTTGAATGAACATTCAAAATTCAGGAATAATAACAGGGGACTTTGATTGTTACAAAGCCTTTTGCCTTATTTAATGAATAATTCAATGCAAAAGTTTTTATCAAGCCTTTCTAGATGACAGAAACTGTGTGAATTGCTGTAGATACAGATAAATGCAAGCAAGAAAGCCCTTGTCATTGTAAAGCATCATCAAAACTACTTGGTACTAGCTAAGAAATTGAGTGGTGGATCAGTGGAATAGGTTAGATATGAAAGACCCCAATAGTCAATGACTATAGTAATCTACTATTTGATAAACCCAAAGACCCCAGCTTCTGGGATAAGAACTCACTATTTGTCAAAAACTGCTGGGAAAATTGAAAAAGAGTATGGCAGAAACTAGACATAGACCAAAATCTCACACCACATACCAAAATAAAGTCAAAATAGGTTCATGATTTAGATATAAAGGCTGATACTATAAGCAAACTGGGAGAGCAAGGAATAGTTTACCTATCAGATTTATGGAGAACAGAAGAATTCATGACCAAACAGAAGATAGAGAACATTATGAAAGGCAAAATGGATAATTTTGATTACATTAAATTGAAAAGTTTTTGCATAAACAAATCCAGTGCAACCAAGATTAGAAGGAAAGTGGAAAATTGGGAATTTTTACAACTAGTGTCTCTGATAAGGGCCTCATTTCTAAAATATAGAGAGAATTAAGTCAAATTTATGAGAATGCAAGTCATTCCCCAATTGATAAATGGTCAAAGGATATGAGTAGATAGTTTTCAGATGAAGAAATTAAAGCCATCTATAGTCATATGAAAAAAATGCTCTAAATCACTATTGATTAGAGAAATGCAAATGAAAACAATTCTGAGGTACCACATCACACCTATCATATTGGCCAACATGTCAAAACAGGAAAATGATAAATGTTGGAGAAGATGTGGGAAAATTGGAATGCTGATGAATTGTTGGTGGAGTTGTCAAAGGATCCAACCATTTTGGAGAGCAATTTGGAACTATGCCCAAAGGGCTATAAAAATGTGCGTACCCTTTGACCCAGCACTAGCACTTCTAGGGCAGTTTCCCAAAAAGATCATACAAATGGGAAAAGGACCAACATGTACAAATATATTTGCAGCAGCTCTTTCTGTGGTGGCAAAGAATTGGAAATTGAGAGGATGCCCATCAATTATCAATTGGGGAATGGCTGAGCAAGTTGTGGTATATAAATGTAATGGAATACTATTGTGCTATAAGAAATGATGAGCAGGTAGACTTCAGAAAAATCTGGAAAGACATGTATGGACTGATGCTGAGTGAAGTGAGCAGAACCAGGAGAATGTTGTACTCAGTAACAACCATGTTGTGCAATGACTAACATTGACAGACTTAGCCCTTCTCAGCAAGGCAAGGATCTAAGACATCTCCAAAAGTCTCATGATGGAAAATGCTATCCACATCCAAAGAAAGAAGTATGGAGCTTGAATGCAGATCAAAGCATACTATTTGCTCTTTTTTTCTTCTGTTTTGTTTTGTTTTCTCTTTCTTGTGTTTCCTCCTATTGGTTCTGATTCTTCCTTACAACATGACTAATGTAAAAATATATTTAATAGGAATGTATATGCATAGCCTATATCAGATTGCATGCTATCTTGGGGAGGGAGGTGGGGAGGAAGGGGGAAAAAAATTTTAAACTCAAAAGCTTATGGAAGTGACTATTGATAAATCAAAATAAATTAATAAAAAATTAAAAAAAAAGAAAAAAGAAAAGAAAGCCCTTGTCTTCAAGAGGCTTACATTGTAATGGGGAAAGAAAACAAATAGGGGAGTGGTGGCCAGGGAGTAATGTTTTAAGCAGGCAAGTCATAGAGACGGTGATTTGTGTTGTGGAAGACAAAAATATGAATACTATATTCTGTATTTAGGCACAAGTCTGCTAGAAACTTTTTTAAAAAATCAATTTATCACTATTCTAAGTATTGTTCTCTTTGGAGAGAGAAATGTCTAATTTGACATAGCCTTCTTCATGCCCTTGGAAATCTTTTTATTTGTTTATTTTAAAGAAGATTTATTATCTCTCCTTCACACTCATTCCTCAACTGAATAATTTTTAAAGAAAGAAAGAAAGAACCAATATGCATAGTGCAGCACATTGTATTCTCACATTGGTCAGGGGTATATCCCTAATACAAGACATTGTGATGTTGTTGTTTAGTCATGTCTGAGTCTTAGTGACTCTGTGGACCATATTGCCCATGGGGTTTTCTTGGCAAGGAAACTAGAGTGGTTTACCATTTCCTTCTCCAGTGGATTAAGGCAAACAGAGTTTAAGTGACTTGCCCAGGGTCACACAGCTAGTAAGTATCACATTTGAACTCAGGGCTTCCTGACTCCAGGCCCAGTTCTCTATCCGCTAAGCCACATAGCTGCCTCCAGAGACCTTCTGAGATAACATTCATAGAACTCAGCTGGTGAAAATTTCTCAATACACCACCATTTGGGGTTAACATTCTACTTTATCTAATATAACAATAATCACTTAATCTTTTCCGGAAAGCCCCTGGAGAATCATTCTCCTAAAACTACTCAAAACCTCAGTTACTACTCGTTTCAAGAGCTGGAATTTTCTCTCTGTGTGTCTCTGTCTCTGTCAGTGTGTCTATCTCTCATCTCCCACCCCACCCCACCTACCTCCCTTCCCTTTAGATCACTGCAGTAATCCTTCTGGGACTAGGAAAAGAAGGAACCATTAGATAGATCATTATTCTAATTCCTTCAGAGAGAATCAAGAGCCATTTGCCTAAATCTTTGTTGGTTACTACCCGCATTACTACAAAAGAGGAGATCTTGTAACTGATTTGGATAGAAGAGAGCAAAACTTTGTTTCAGAATTGATAGTTAAAGAA